CAACATTCAGAACATCTTTCATCGTTTATGGCATCAGTTGATAACAGGTTCCAAAATATTATTCGTGGGATGAAACAAAACCACGACGATATATCTAATATCACATATTCGGTAAATGCAGCTCTTTCGATCCTTCAAGCTGAAAACGTATTCATGTCTTCTCTGCTTACCAAACACATGATGCAATCATCACATTTAAAACACCAACTCTACCAGCTTAGTTCAGGTGTTCAAGATCTAGCAAAAGGAAAACTTTCTCCACTCCTTGTACAACCACAGGACATGAGACACAGTATTCGGCAAATAACTGCCATTATACATGACAAATACAAAACGTTTACACTGATGCACCAAAACACAAATTACTATTATTCACAGGCTGATTTCATCTTTGCTCGACACCACAAGAACTTATATGTTTCTGTTAAATTCCCCATCTCAGCTATGAAATTACCAATGTCTCTTTAAGAAATTATTTCTCTTCCTGTTCCCATTAACTCCACTTCAGCTCATGCTACCCAACTTTTAGATTTACCCAAATATTTAGCTATTTCTTCAGATGGTCAATATCATGTTCCCTTAACATACAAACATCTTTCCCAGTGTCAAGGATTCAAACAATTACAATGTCCTTTCAAACTCGCCTTGATACCTAACACCCAGTCGTCCTGCGTTATGTCCTTGTTTCATAACAAAGTAAAAGATGTTAAACAGTTTTGCAACTTCCGTTTTCTCATCACTACCAAACAGTCTAATTTCATTCAAATATCCCCTTCCAAAGTACTAGTTTATCATGTTCCTCTAATTTCATTGGACTGCGAGTCAGGTTTAAAAATGGTAAAAGGTTGTAATTTCTGCATATTGTCCATTCCATGTCGATGTGCGCTATCTACCCAATCACTATTTATTCCTGCAAGTCTTAATTCATGCAGTAACGCAAGTCACACTGTTACTCCTTCTCATCCAGTCAATTTGGCCTTGCTACAACATTTCTTTGAGGACAATACATTAGAATCACTTACAGGAACCACCACCTGCCTATCTCCTGTCAAAGTTGAAATTCCAGACTTTCACATTTATTCACACAATTTTTCGAACATCATAGCTAATGACCATAATAGTCACCTCAATCTCAGACGCATGGCTGAGAGCGCTAAAAAGGACCAACTCATTTTCCAAACACTTACTGAACCCTTATTGGATGGTCAAATAAACTTACAAACGTCATGGTTAGATGGTAAGTCTATGATTTCCTAGGCTTCCTTATTCATGGTATGTGTATTATCCATTATCAGTTTTTGGATGTTTTTTAAGATTGCGCGCTCTTACAGCAATGATATTACTGTTTACATGTGTGCATAATCAAGTTCCCAAACCCGGGACAAAATCTTGGTTATAGGGGCTGGTTATGCTGAATGTGTTGTGGGTGCTCTTGTTCTTGTTCTTCTTGTAGCTGTTCTTGTTGATGTTCTTGCTCTTCTTGTTGTACTTGTGTTTGTTCTTGTTCTTCTTGCAGTTGTTCTTGTTGGAGTTGTGCTTGTGGTTGTTCTAGTTGTGTTAGCTTGGAATGTGATTGTTATAGTTCTTCTTGGACAGGTCCTAATTTGCGCAGTTGGTAAAAGTTCGTTGGTGTCGCTCATCTAGACATGTAGTGTTTTTCGAGGTCGAGATCGAATTTGTTTCCACCAACTATAATCAAGATTTTGTCCCGGGTTTGGGAACTTGATTATACCTTAATAAGAAGAAGAGGAACGATTACAATCAAGCAGTTTACTGTCAGTGGTGTTGTGTTTTATAATACAGAATACAAGAGACATAATAGCAATACATGGTACATAGAATGATAATAGTATGAATACATGAAACATATAGAATAATAATAGAACGATCGAATAAGCAACGGTTATAATACTTGAGGGGGAAAGCTGGAAAGGTAGGGGATATAGCTATAGGTAGAGCTAAGCACACTTTCATGTCTAGAGAGAGCATTACATCATGACACCAACATTATGACCTGTGACTGCATTTGTAAGTAACGTCACTATAAATACGCTTGGCTTATTACGTCCGAAGTGAGACGCGCTATTTACTAAATGTAGATAGACATATACGCGATAAACGATAATAACAATAACCTCAAACCAAGTATAATAAAACATGTAGATGTAGGATATGAACGATATTGATAATCAGAATAGTATCATTTGCATGGAGTTGACTTATCACGATGTTAGATTTGATTTCTAAGTTCATCAATGCTTTGTCATCGTTTGTATCAAAATATGATAAAGTAACAGTTTCTGTAACGGCCGAACATTAGATATACAGACTAACTGTCTGTGTCTTTATCGTTCAACATACAGCCCGATTAACGTTACTTTCATGACATTTATTTAATACATATTGTATTCTGATACCGTGTATATTCGGATATTGATAATGGGAAATCATATTCAATTAATAGGTAATTACTGCTAATTAACGGACACATGTGGTGCTAAACACATTTCATAAAACATACAAAGTATAGTAAACATCTATTCATAATACATACAAGTTCTGGTAAACAAATATCTAAAACACACACGTTATTGTGTATGATCTTTCATACGTACATAGGTAATAATGAACGCTTCATTATTTAAACATACAAGGGACCCGTGCACATGCACAGTGCAAATATGTTTCCACAATCTTACATTAGCTTGTTAGAGTTAACCATCTATAGAAACACAGACTATCTTGAATATATCACACACATATATATAATATAGGACCAAATGTATCAAATAATAAAATGTTTCTTACCTTAATAAGAAGAAGAGGAACGATTACAGTCAAGCAGTTTACTGTCAGTGGTGTTGTGTACTGACCAGTGGAGATGCTTGACTTTTATAGTAATCGACTCGTACATTTTTACTTTGAGTGATTCCCTAGTCAATGAATTGTGCATTGTCTTCATCTAGTTCTTGACCGACGGACGATACGTCACGAGGTAGTGATGCTGTATTATTACATAATAATAACTTCTACGCCGGCGCGACTACGGCCTCTGGACAATAGAATTCACTCAGCGCGATGGGTTTGATGGATACGTCAATCTTACATCACTGTAGCCTGCTATGTAGCTGTCAGTGTTCAGTGTGACACGTGAACGTCTACAAGATTTAATTGCTTGTTGCTATGTTGTAGGTAATGAAACCTTTATAAATATTTTAATTCCATTTATATTTAGTTAATAATTATATCAGAAAACGTTAATATTTACATAACATATTGGAACAATATTGAGTGTATTTTACACTGGTATAGTTGCACGAATTCAGTGAGGAGTATATAGACCCGGCTGAGACCTGCTTCCTTGAAATTGGGCGAATGATCAAACCAAGTTGACGTTCCGACATGGGCTTACTCGAGTACCACACATGGTCATTTACCATGGCACTTGATTTGGGAATGCAAAACAACTTTTCTGCATTTTGGGGCAATTTTGACATGAGAAGTTTCAAGGTTGCGCCGGGACACTGTGACGTACCAGAAGCATACATGGCTTTGCGTTTGTCGGTAGTGCTGTTTTCTGGGTCATCGAAACCCACCTGTGTGGTTTTTTGGATTGTGTCGTTTGAAATTGCGGCATATTCCCGATCCTCGTCATCAAAATGAAATTCAAAAGAACCAGGTCTCAACTGAGAGGGAAATTCTAGGCCACGTGAAACAAAATGAAAGCTTTATACAGAACACAGAGTGGACTCTCGTGTGACATATCATCTTGATTTTTTTGTCATATCGCCATTGTCAATAATTGGCTTATGTTGTGTTGGCATAGACTGACCTTCACGGACACTGGATTTTAATTTTCCATTGAGGTCATTGGCACGTTGGAATTCTTTGTCCATTACTATGTCCATGTGGCGACCCAACAGATCTGTTGAGGGCAGCTCTCATATTCTTCATCGTGATTCTATGGTACCCATCGGACACTGGACCCTTACCATCCTTCCTCATGTGCCGCCGCGTCTCGGCATAGAATGCACGGAGAAGGACGGCCAACTCAGAAACCGGAATAGTAATCCAGTCTACGGATATTTTTCTCGTCTCCGATGACCAATCTGTAAAACAGGAAGGCAAGCTCTTTTCACTATTTATAGTAAATTTAAGTTTTATTCTTTACTTTTGAATGTCTTATTTGTTTAACACTAGATTAAGTAATTTTATTTGGCTTACCATTTAACATTTTCAAAGCCCATTTAGTGTTTATCATTGTTGATTTGCTGTGCCTCTGTTTCTCTAAATCTTGGAGGTTTTCTTCCGAAACAATAGTAAATCGGGTTTTAGGTTGGGGTTGATCACTAGCAGTCGCTTTGATCTCTGTGTCGGCATTGTTGCCAGTCACAATTGTCTTGATGCTAGATTCCTGAGTCATTTCCGAAAACAATGCATCAAGGTCAATATCGCTCAATAAATCGATTTCGTTCAACTCAGTAGTTTTGCAGATTTCAGTTTCTTCACTTGCGTTACTAGTATTCACAGATAGCCATTCCATATCAAAATCACCGTAAGGACAATCCATTTTGTTTCATGTAGCAGACGACAACAAACACCAGTACCAAAGCATTTATTTATTTTGAAGTCAGATAAAATGTTACAAGACCAGACAAAAATACTTAATTAATTTTAATGCCGATAAATGTAGGTATTAAAAAGGAAAAATAAAATAGAGAAACGAGTTGATTGTAAACACCGATTGAGAGTTCGGGGAAACCCCGGAAAGTAGTTCCGGCAAAAATTCACACGATCAATTCACAAAAAGTTGTTCACATCGTGTGAACTTTGCTGTCCGTTCACAGGTGTGTGAACTCAAAATAGCAGATCACGTGACTACCCATTCAGCCAATCAGCATGAAAGAAACAGTGTTAACTTTAAAGTATGAAATTATTGAGGAATTGACTTTCACTTTGTATGAGTTCATTGGAGTATGAACCTTTATAGAGTGAGGGCCAAACTGTCGCAAGCTCCGACGTTCATACAGTTTGGCCCTCACTCTATGAAGGTTCATATTCCAATGAACTCACACAAAGTGAAAGTCAATTCTTATAATTCTTTATATCACTAGTTTTACCTCAAATGACGTAGACCTTGATTTATACACAATTATATTTAGTACGTGTGACTTAATGTTTACATTGACATCCATACAACAACCAGCTGTATCGCGGAATAAAATAGTTCCTCAAAACGTAAGGTGACATGAGCTTATGTATGCTCAACAGGGACAACTTTTGTAGTTTCTTTAGAACAAATGTACTCAAGTAACATCCTTATTAGATGAGACAGGTCTGTTAAGAACTACCTCAGTAAGTCAGTCACAATGACAGCGTGTCGTAATACATTTACATCAAGTACAAGACGTCAAAATGGCCGACACGATAAAATTGACGGGAGAGATTTCCGAAGTTGTTGATGATCCTGAGAAGAATGACTGCACGCAGAAGCAGAAGTCACATATGACATCAATGTCATACATGATCTCAACTGACTTCGTATCAGGAACCAATTTCCACATCCAATGTAGCTATGGAGATTTAGAAGGTGATTGCAAGCTCAGTGTTTGACGGGAGCCTCTGACAGTTGCCTGTCTGTAGAGTCACGCTCGCGCATCTTGGTTCCTTCAGTCTGTAAAATAAAACATGATAACCAACTGAGAACAGGATATGGTGTTCGTGCGTACGTTCATTATTACATATTACACGCTAACACCAATTTTCCTACTTATAATATTTATTCTGGCTATGTTTAACATTCTGACTCCGCCAACCGCCACGCGCTTGTGACTCAACAAATCCTCACTTCGTCAAATCTCCTCACTTCTCACATTCTTTGGATTCTTTCGGGGGAGTGAAATAGTTTCGTATTCCATGCAGCAAGACAGCGATCGAGCTTTAAACGCTATATCTGATACTGGGCGACAAGCTGTTATTCACCCGCGGTATTCCAAGACCGATCTGTCATACATACATACATCTGTCGTCCATACTACACTCAACACTGTGTCTTGCAAATGCAACGTCTCGCTGTTTATTGGTTAGGCCTAGCAATCCTCATTCTATCAGCATTACATTCGATTCTAACATTCTTGCTTCAAAGATGTGAGTGAAAGGTTACAGATATTTAGCATTGACAGATTTGTCATTGGTGCAACTACCGACCAGGTCTCAACAATCTTCTCGAGAGCACCAACAAGCAGCACCCAGGGAGGCTTACCATACGCCTTGGCGCCAACGACTTGTGTGTCAAAGTTGGAACCTGCTGTATGACAACATTTTGAGGGACCTAGTATGAAGTCGTTTTCGCCTCCCTCACTCCACACTGGCATGGCACTGCGTGATTCAACGTAGGCTATGGTGAGGGGCCAACAACGTGTGCAAGGTCGAAACTATGATGGCCAAGAGGGAACATCGCTTTCTCGCTCTATCGCTTTCTCGCGGTATAGCAATATTCCCCCTTGGCCACTATATGGGTCGCATGTGTTATATGTTTCTTTACGATAAAAAGTATAACCGAAAAACAACATAAATGAATTGTTAAACCTGACCTCAGTGGGCGGAGGCTGATGTTGGTTTTAATCATAAAAGAGAGCTGAGATTTTTCCAGTTTGTATATGATATGTACATATCTATATGATATGTACATATGTTTATGATATGTACATATGGACGGAATGTTGAAATTTTCTCACTATCTAATTAAACATAATTTAACAGTACAGACATAGGTGTTTTTTTATAACAATCAATGTATTTCCGCGTAAAAAAAGGAATTTGATTGATTTATGGCCCTATTTAGGAGTTTTATGGGATCCCCCGCCCCAGGCCAAGTTATCAAAACAAATAGCAAATAACACCGCTCATTAGCGCTGAGAAGTGCGTACTTCCTAAAAAACAAAAGAGTTTTCCTAAAATCTTATATCAATGTTTATTCTGTTTGCGGAGTAGATGTCATCAAAGTGGAAGTCCTCACCCAAGCGATGGTAATACTACAATTCTCTATTTCCATTTAAACTGTAAGGTTAACAGTTGTGCGTTCTGATGTGAGTTATGTAGTTATCTACTACATTTTTACACAGACAATGAGTCGGACACACACACAAACACACACACACACACACACACACACACACACACACACACACACACACACACACACACAACACACAATTTTCACAAAACTATACTTAAGATATATATAAATATTACAATGATAGCTGATCAAATATATGTAGTAATGCATTTCATATTGTTATGAACTTTAACTGTGTGGCTCGTCACGATATGGCTGAAATATTGCCGATGTGACGTAAAGCATTAACTCACTCACTCACTCATTTAACTGTGTGGCCACACTAATTATTATGTCTCTCCATATGTGTAGTTTACACAAGTACACATATCAACTGTGGTAACGCCACACCGATGGGGGCAGTGGGGTAGCCTAGTGGTGAAAACGTTCGCTTGTCAAGCCGAAGACCCAGTTCGATTCCCCACATGGGTACAATGTGTGAAGCCCATTTCTGGTGTTCCCCGTGATATTACTGGATTATTGTTAAAAGCGATTTGAAACCATTCTCACTCACTCACTCACCGTGACCGCCTCCGTGGTCTAGTGGTAGAGCGTCCGCCCGGAGAGCGGAAGGTCCGGGGTTCGATCCCCGGCCGCGTCATACCAAAAGACGTTAAAAGATGGTACTTGTTGTTACCCTGTCTGGCGCTCGGCATTAAGGGGCTAAACAAGGACTGGTCGGCTCGGAGTCAGTATACTGTGTCTGAGTGGGGCATTCATGTTAAACTGCGGCATGGTATCTCAGTGAGCTAGCACTATAAAACGGCATACGTCTGTACAGTTAAATTATGTTTTAAGTAAATAGTGAGAAAAGTTCGACATCCCATACCAATTGCAGCAGATATCACATGCGGCCCCTATAGTGATGAAGAGGGGATATTGCTTAACCACGAGAAAGCGATGTCCCCCTCTGCCACCACACGAAAGAGCAAGGAAGAAGCTAAATCGTCAGATTGTCAATCGCGTGAAAGAACTCAAAACGTCCAGTGGTAAGGCACGACCACGTTGATCCGCATGCTGACAGTGTGTAACTCAGAGACAATTTATAGGTGCAAGCACGCATACCATCTTCATAAGGAATGTTATGCAAGTTGAGACACAGCAATGAAGGAAGTATATAAATAATTCCAAGGAGGGGAGACCAACATATGTTGTGGATGAGAGCAGCCTAGTAGCCCTGGTGGCGTGGTTTTGGTGCTATTCATATCATCGAGCAAAACCATCTCCAGCATAGCCTTAACTTTTGTCAAGCTTCACTATACTAACACCACGGGAGTTATCTCCCTTTATGTGTGGTGGCCGCCTCGTCCATCAACAACTTGGCCTTTCTCCCAAAAAAATTACCTTATGTTGTCATTCGCTGTCACACAGTATTTATTTCAACCGATGTTAACGTCACCCCGGTGATCATTCAACAAGAAATTTAATACATTCCCATCAAAACCACAGGTCTGTCAATAACCATCTGCGGAACGACTTTCTCTTGTATATACTCCTTTTAGTGCAACACTCACTGGTCACCTGATATACACTTAGTGAATTTCCATTGACCTATCTTAGCGTTTGACTAAAATGAACAAAAGATTGACCGACAGGTTAATTTCTGGATTTTTCCATGAATGTTTTCGCTATGAAAATATTATTTAGTTTACTGACAAAGATTGACAGAAATATCATATAATTCATTAAGAAACCTTTTTTAAAGTGGCATTTGTGCATTACTTAAGCATTCGTCAGTTTATGCATCCTCTGTATGGTCAAAGTATTACCAACATGAGGATGTCTTAGGTCGTTCAAAAGATGTTGTACAAGTTTTCCAAATTTAATACGTCAGTGTAAAAAGTGATATCCTTTTTTGACTTGTATCATATCTTTCCGTGTTGTTGTTTTTTCGGGTGAAAATTTGACATTCCTTTGCATGTGTTTGTGTCGGATGCAACCGATGGGGCAGGGTACACTCACCTTATCGAAATTACAGTTGGTATCATCATCATTTGATAGTGATTCATAAACACATACTCATATATATATATAGGCGGAATTGTACAATCGATTTTGGCAAAGATTTCTTATGACTATGGAAAGGGTCTTGTCGCTTTTATTTGCAAGTGTTCCTCGGTGAAACATCATAAAGTATCATAACTTTTTAAAATGATTGTCAATATATCAATTTTGAATTGTTAAAATATTATGTTCCATGTCAAAATTATATAACATGCTGGAATCTAATATGAAGGGTTACTTTATTTTATAATGTGTTTATGTGAAGGCATTTTATGAAGCTGTATCTACAGCAGCTGATACAGACCACAACATATTCCTCTTCCGGTTCTCTACTCCCAAGGTACTTTCTCACATAGAGAGGGTTAACACCATCCATATTTCCACCTGCAGGATTAACATAGATGTAAGTATCTTTATGAAGCAAATATCATGAGTCAACTGTGTCTACATTGTCACAACATTGTCATAAAATGCCTCTAAAGGATATATATTATGTCGTTTAATTGTCATTTACCTGTGGCCAGACTGAGAGCAACCCCCACCACGAGCACGATGAGGAATCCAAAACACTGGTACAGAGTGTAGGAGAGGCTGTAGAAGGCATCCAGGCCTGACCTACATAAAGGTAGAAATGAAAGTTTGGTTTATAATAATATAGCAATAAGTTCATTTATTATTCGCCAGATTCCATTCATATGGCACTGCATTATTACGACCCCAGTTAATGGATTACTGTGCACACGATTTTCATTCTCAGCTCACCAGGGAGTATACAACCACAGGTGCCGGTGAGGCGCTAGAAGGTCACATTACCTACTCTCAATAGTCGAGCTGTCGAAAAACCATCCAACTGCTATCAACAAGCAACGTTGCTTTACTTCATCGCTCTTGTGACATGTGCGTTGTACACATGACCAAGCGGCACCACAGAAATTGGAAGGTGGCGATTGGAACTATAAAAGAGCATATCGAAAAATGATTGAATAAAACATAAGTTTGAAAATGGTGTTTAATGGAGTAAGAAACTGAGGTCTGACATTGATCATAGAAAGATCCATACGTTACCCTGTAAATTGCTGAAGATTGTGATTTGTTGAGTTCGGGCTCATCAAGGTGATGTTAGTCATTGAATATGATGGATGACCACTTGGGCAGTGATCTATTGGAGCAGGGGGGAGAGGGGGCGTCTGCCTCACCCCCTGGGAAACACTGGCACCAACCACCAGCCACGTCAGGAAGCTGAGCCCAGTAAGCAGTGCAAGAATTGCACTCTGTGGAGAGACGATGGTATGAAACAGGCATAAATTGAAACATCTCATTATCTCATTGCAAAAATAGTTTAAGCTTATTTTGCGTGTTCCTTTATAAGGTTGATAGATTGTTAGGTTGCATAATAATTTTCTCCTAAAGTCAGTCATGAAGATCTCTGTGATGATAGGGAAGAGGGGAGATCCCATAGAGAGGCCATGGACACGGCCATGAACTGAACTACAAGATCAGAAAACTCATAGAAGCCATCAATGGTGTTAGAATCTTTATCAAAATGTCGCCTCAGTTGAAATAAAGAATAATTGAATAATCTTTTAGCCTTGTTCATCACACTGACTAAATGTCACTCAAATAAATATGGCATGGTGGGGTAGACTTAGTGGTTAAAGCGTTCGCTCATCACGCCGAAGACCAAAGTTCAATTCCCGACATTGGTACAATGTGTGAAGCCCATTTCTGGTGTCCCCCGCCGTGATATTGCTGGTATATTGCTAAAAGCGGCGTAAAACCATACTCGCTCACTCAATCAGCTAAGCTTACACAGTCCTCCACATAAAAGTTCACATCCTTCATCTTAAAACAGCCCATAATAGACCACACATTACAAAAACACACATGACAGTCTTCTTATATTGTTACATTCCTCATGTTGTAAAATGGAATCAACTGAAAATATGTAATAATAAACAACAGTGTGTATACCAATGATTACCATCGAGCAACATTTACTTTTAACTTTATCCGATTTGAGATACTTTGTAATAATTAATACCTGCGTAATAACATTTCCGAAACGTCTATAAAGAGGTTAACATCCACACTGTCAAAGATTAATTATTGACATGAATAGTGTTATCATTTGTAGGAATAATGTTATAAAAATATTAGTTAATTGTTCAGTTGAATGTTTTATTATATGAGACTATTTCCTCCATTGTACTCTACACTTATGTATGGAAAAATATATCTGCAATCTTGACATACTCTTGTATTGACAAAGGGGAAGAGAGCCCCAAGGTAGAACAGGCCGCTTACTGGTCCAGCGGTCACTGAGGAGGCACTGTACTAAATCTGAAACAAAGAGGCACTTATTAGCACTCCACGAGTCATTAATCAGTGTGGTATGCTTAACTCTGCTTACAGCAATACGTTTCTGTTACATCCTTGCTTGACGGCTGGTGAGAGGACAGTCCAGGTGATGCGAAGTGACATGTTTACTACTTTTGTGAAATTCCCGAGCACGGGCAAAATATGGAAAATCACTCGAAAAAAACACGAAATGTCAAATACGTATTAGCAGCACGAAGTTATATTTTGCTTTTGAACACAAGGAAGAAAGCACCTGAAGGATGGACGTTGATCCCAAGTGGGAGACAAGCAGGGCCAGACAACAGACCAGAACTCCCCATGTCAATACTGAAGGAGAAAGAATAATGAAGACATTGTGCAGACCATGTAAACGTTGGGAAGGGTGCGTTCTTGTTGAGTGTGTGACAACAAACCCTCATGGTCTCCCAATTCTAATAAATGGTGCAGAAATATACACGGCCTGACATTCGCTGTATATCAGCTGAACTTGCGTGTAACATCCCGCGGCAGTGAGAACGATTTCTTAAACAGTATTGGTATGTATATATTTAAGGCAATACGATATTGTCCGTATTCTCTATATCTACATATTATATAGGAAAATATATAAATGGCAAAGTGCAGTGGGGTAGCCTAGTGTTTAGTGGCTCGTTACGCCGAAGACCCGGGTTTGATTCCCGACATGGATTCAATTTGTGAAGCCCATTTCTGGTGTCCCTGCCGTGATAGTGGCGGAATAATGCCAGAAGCGGTGAAAAACCATACTCACTCAATATAAATGGCAAGTGATTCTATGGCCAATCAAACATTTCATTTTTGTTTCCATAAAACTAACAACAATTAAGCCACGTCAACTGTTGTTACCGGATTTTTGGCTGATAATAGGGTGGGACATAAAAATGATTTGCAATGGGAACGAGTTTTGTATCATTTTTTATCAACAATGATGCTTTAAAACGAATTATTAACAAACTTACGCCATTTTCACCTTATAATGAGATCAAAATGTGTATGAATACAAAGTATGCAAAAGGAAAACATTCGGTTTGAGCCAGGAAGGGATGTTGGAGTTGTAAGGATCAATTGCTGGTTCAAAACATTATCCTTGAAGAGGATAAGACCTCCCACCATAACCTCCCTATGTGTTGGATAGAATGCAGAGAAGCTCATGATTCTGTACCTCACGAACGGATTTTGAAGTCAATGGAATGTATTGACATCCCTGAGCGGCTGCTTGTTTTACTCAAGTCTTTAATGAAAAGCTGGTCATCTCAATATGAGATTATTCACAGGGGCAGGTGGTGACTTAAGAACCCATTTCTATCGGAAGAGACTTAGCAAAGAGGAAGGTTATTATCCTGAACCGCCTCAGCACAGATTCCCGAAATTCACGGTATTGACACCTTCAGGCGAAGAATCATGTCAGACAATAGATACCACAACCCTCGCTCTTCCCTCAAACGCTTATATTTACCAATTATGATGGGATGGCGTGGTTAGATTAACGTGAAGGCTCTTAGAATTATATAGAATTGCATTGTGCACTTTTGCACACATTTATTTGTCTGATGATCCTTTTGTGAAGCATACCAAGACTCAAATGACTGTCAACCATGCGAAGCGCCATAATACATCAGCCCCGACTCAAAGAGAGGTAATTTGAACGACCACTGCATCGAGTTTCTGTGCAGGGTGCTAAGAAATGAAGAATCCTTCATTTGGATGAATCGGCTGGCCTGAAAAGTGAAACAGAAGGCTTTCTGTTTGCTGCTCAGGACCAGTCACTTCCCTCTCGAAACCACGCATCAATGCGTGACTTAGCATCAAATGTCAATATGAAATGAAGATATAAAATGCATTGAATTTAATGAGACTGTTCAACACATGCCCAGCTTTTAGACGAACACAGTATCTTAAGTGACCCTATGGAGTGGCTTTTATTACCGTCTTCGCCATACTTGTGGTTTTGACACAGAAATCAATCAATCCATATATATATATATATACTGAACAACAAAAGTTCCTGTGACATTATATAAGATTTAATGCAAAGTTATGTTTTTTACCAAATCTGAAACAATTTCGGTTTGCAACAGATAAAAGTAAGTGTTCAAATGGTTTAATTTTCCATACTGACATCAGAAAATGCGTGATTTCATAAAAAAATCATGAACATGCCAAAATGTCAATTTACAAATCAATAGCGTGTGTGTCCACCTCTGGTTGCGATGCAAGATACACATCTTTGTCTCATGGAATGGACCAGGTGTCGCACAAAGTCCTGTGGGATATCTGTCCATATCTGCTGGAGCATATTTCGAAGTTCCTGGAGTGTCTGCGGAACACGTGGTTGACGTCGAAGGCGCCGATCCATCTCATTCCACATGTGCTCAATTGGTGAAAGATCAGGGAAGCGAACCGGCCTTGACGACGCAAAAACGTTAGAACAACAGGGCCGATGATCTCGTCGCGGTAGCGCTGTCCATTGATATTTCTTGCTGTAATCCCACCCAATACCATAACGCTGCCGCCCCCGAACCGATCTTCTTCCATGACACAATGATTGACGTAACGTTCACCTCGACGTCGGTACACTCGAATCCGTCCATCCCTGTGGCTGAGGTGAAAACGAGACTCGTCAGTGAACAGAACTTGTCCCCACAGCATGGCCGTCCAGCGTAGACGCTGTCTGCACCACTGTAGACGTGCTTGACGGTGGTTTCCTGTCAAAATGGGACGTCTGGTGGGTCCTCTAGCGACAATCCCTGCACATCTGAGGCGACGACGTACGGTTTGTGAAGATATTCGTCGAAGGCCAGGGTTGCTCCTTGCAGTCACTGTTGCTGGCTGGAATCGATTTTGCAGGTGTGTTGTTCGAATCCAGTTGTTATGTCAATTATTGGTTACGCTTCAAGCATACCAATGGCTCGCAGACGCTCATTTTCGGACAGGCGTGGCATTTCGTATTGTTGAATAATTGCGTATTTTTGTTGTTTTTCTGAGTGGTTGTTGTCAGCACGATGCTAAACAATGCATATGGAATCCCGTTAACGCACATGTTTTTTATACCCATTCTTGGGTAGTGAAATGCATGGGGCTTGCATAAAAGTCAACTTTTGCATGGAATGGATGCTTTTCTGTAGCAGTTTCGTTTTTGTGACTTGATTCCATACATGTATTACAATATTGAAAACCAAACTTTACTTGTTTGAAAAAAACACTAAAATATTGGTGTCAAAGTAAGTTTTGTTGTTGAGTATATGTCATTGAGTTCTCTGTCCCTTTTGATACTAATGTGATTGACAAGATTGAGGAAAAACATGGCAAATGTACCTCGCCTACGAAATGTCACGCTTGCATCCCAAGTACTAAGTACTCGCCATTGTTCTCGGTGCCTTAGGTTTGGTACCTCCCAATCTGTTGACTGACATTGAGAGAGTAACCGGGTTTGCTGCCATGAAGACAGCCCTTCTGACAATCTGGGTAATGCAGAATCCTGCTTTTTGGGGTAGTCATCATTCTCCGAAAAGGTCTTGGTGGGTTCGACTAGGCAGCGCTTTCTGGGCTGCGTGTAGAGGGGACAAGGGGCCCTGAGCTGATGACGAGCCTTACCAGCTTGACGGTGCCAGGATCAAACGAACCCTGTATCCTGCTATTGTTTATTTCAGTCGGCATAATAGTCCATTTGTATGGTGCTTTTTCTATGCTTGATGTCATGCTCAAAGCTCATAATTACCCCGGAAAATGGATCAGGGTGCACTCGGCATTTTATGTTCTGTGTGTCAGGCACTGGGAGGGAAACAGCCACGTTGTCAGCTCATCATGTCTGACTAGATTTCATACTTTAAATGTTCATAACCTCATCAGTATTGGTGAGTTACCTTTAACGTTTACGTTACTACACAATATTTTAGATTTTGAAGGCGAAAGGAACTAGCTAGTCTGTCTTACAGACCCTGATACAAATATATATCAAATACAGCCCATTCAAGTCTATAATGTTTGGCAAGTCTAGATCACTGCAGTATCAGTATCTGAAAATGAAGAGAGTCCCTGGGCTCCTTTTTATTATATTTTTATTAAGATAACTGAACAACTGTTTTTTATGTAAGATGTGTTCATTTCAGAGACTAGATGTTAGTATAGGAACTAGCGACAAATAGAATTAATTTATTTTGTCATTCAAGACTGTTCATAATTTAATCTCCCCACACGTGCTTATCTCATCAAGCAAACATTATTCCAGTCGGGACATAAACTTGATATGAAACGTCACGGTAATGCACAATTATGTACACAGTATGGTTTAAATGAATAGACCTACATTAGATTGCATCTGGTTTTGTTTACATTTGTGATCAATAAAAGGTAGAACCAAAAAAGTCAAAATTGGCGTATTAACCAATCACATTCCATGCAAGTGTTATGACACACGTGTTTCTATTATTATGCCTATTAAGCTGTAACACGATGGTAATATTAAATATTATAACACGTGAGCAGATACAATATACCAGTACCATTTACTGCTGATATACCTTGGCAATATCTAGCAAAATAGGTAGGCAATGCAAGTCAAATAACACAAGCCACGTTATCTTGTTTTACCTGCTATCTTTGCGATAAACAATTGCCGAACGTCTGACATTTGAGGAGCACGGGGCTTGATAAAGTCCTCCCATGTTATGTTCGCGAGAGCAGATACACCTGATGATAATGAGCTGTAATCAAATCAGTATGGAATCATTTAATTACAGTCCAAATATCCAGTTGACGTATTTCATATACATGTATACTTCAACATTATCAATAGATTTACTTTACGGGTAGGCATAAGTTGAGGCCGAACTCACCTGAGAGATGCACTGAAGAGTGCTGAGAGAAACAGTCCTGGCATTCCTGGCAAGTTCCGGAAAATGTCGAGCATCATGAAGGGTAATACCTTGAGAGTGAATAGAAGTGAAATGGGATCCAATAAAATTCTTATGTCACATTAATACCGTCACAACGTACAAGAATTGACTCGTCACACTACAAGTTGGTCATTAATTTATGTTTGCTTTAACTGTCAGGGAATACAAAACAATGCACAAAAAGACGTACGAGTATATATCACTAATGTGTTATTGTACCTGATCAAGATTGCTGATCTGATTGGATGCCATAGGATCACATCTCTTGTTGTCATAGTAACCATATGCCAGAAGACCGCTGATGACTGAAATGACTCCAAACGCAGGTGAGCAGAACAGTCCAAGTAACATCGCCCTGAAAAACATTCCTTCTTTATTCTGCTTCACACACACATTAGCACTATTGCAAAGTTTTGTAATGGCCAGTAAAGGATTGAAGGTAACTGTTCTAAAGAATAAGCAAAACACAACCTGTAGTAAAATAAGGATTCGATTATTTCTTCCCCTGATGACTCTCAAATAGTAATTTCAACAGGATGTTTCATATCAGCCATATATTACCTTTAAAATAACATCTATATTGTACTGTTTGAAGATGTGAATAAACTTTCAATCTTGCCTTCTAGCCTGAGTGAGTGACTTTGTCGATGTTATGCGCTGAAGATATGCAGGTTTAAAGAGCCAACCAAATCCACAGAACACCCTGGCAACGCCCACGTTCCATACAGTATGGCGGATAGTCGGGTCAAGGTCAAATCTAAAGACAAGTGAGATATCTCGAGATGAAAAAAGAATGTACCATCTAATATATCTATATAACCCCAAGCTGCTGTAAAACAAACGAAGTTATACAACTGACTAGCTCTCTCCTGAACAACTCTCTCAAGTAATGTGTACTCACATGAATGTCAGTCTCCCTCCATCCATTACCCTGGTCCAGATTTCCTGGATTCCTCCACTGTCAATTGTCCCCTGTCATCATGTTACAGATCAGTGATTAATTGCAAATCCTATCTTATTTGAAATACTAAGAATAATTTCTCTAGATTACAGCATCTTGTATGCAACTTCCTTAGACACTTTTACCTACATTTACTTCAAAGAATTACCTCCTTTTCTATTTTTTGTGAGATATTGAGTGTATTCAATATAATGAATACCCATGACATGACACAGCAAGTTTATTGTCTTTAATTATATTGTTTATCATTTATTGTCTGCCATCACATGCCATCAGAAAAATACCTTTCAGAAAAACGACTCGGTTTATTGTGTTTGTTTGTTGTTTGACGCCCCACTCAGCAATATTCCAGCAATACGACGGCGGTCTGTAAATAATCGAGTCTGGACCAGACAATCCAGACAATCATATATCAACAGAGTCAGCGGGCCTGACCACCCGATCCCGTTAGTCGCATCTCTCGACAACTATGGAATGCTTAAGACCAACTCTAATCCAGATCTTCACACGTAAATGGACTGTGTAAATATTTGTTGGAAGACCCGTGAAGATCCGGGGTAGAATAGGTCTTCAGCAACCTATGCATGTTGTAAAAGGCGACTATGCTTGTCGTAAGAGGTGAATAACGGGATCGGCTGGTCAGGTTCGCTGACTTGGTTGATGCATGTCATCGTATTCGAATTGCGTGGATCGATGTCCATGATGTCAAGCACTGGATTGTCTGATCCAGACTTGATTATTTACAGATCATATAGCTAGAATGTTGCTGTTAAACAACAAACAAACAAACAAAATCGGAAGAGGCTTCATAGCACAAAACATGGAAATCAGCAACTGGACATTTAGACTTACAATTGATGAAAGAAAATTATAAATCGAAACAACCGAACTTAAAACTGTAAAAGCAAACGGTATTGACATTTTCGCCAAATTTTCACTTACTCTTCTGAAAGAAAATATTGTCAGAAACTACATTTCAATCCAACTGAATCCAACCAAAAAAATCTAAATCAATGGGGTCGGATCGGTAACAACACTATCGACTGTCAAACACCAATGGATGTAGGTCTTAGAAATAGATCAGTACTGTGCAATATTCCTCACCTTGATAATCATGGCTAGCATTCCGATATACATTAGTATATACTGGAGGACATCCGTCCAAATCACAGCTTTGAGACCACCCTGTGCAGCAATCGTTCGGATAACTTAACAAGGCATGTCTTTGTGACATAATCAGGAGGTATGCATGTTTAACATCTTATTGATATTCAATTAATTGTACACGAGGTGCCTGTGACCTCTAAGTATTGTGAATAACACGCTCTCGAATTAGAATGACACATTTGGTCAAGCTTTGCAAAAAATATCTCTAATCGGCAAAATCAATCAAGCCAATGACATTCCATCGGATATATCAAATGTTGGTAAAGCATTTGGTATTCACAACATGAAGTATTGTTATTTTTATTAACTATATCCGGTTTCAAAGAAAGTGTGATCACTCACAATCGTAGTATAGAGAACAGCTGCTGATGATGTGACTACGATCGACCAGGTCATAGAGAAGCCGGTCACTGGAAAAACACAACAAATATATTGTAACATAAAATGTGCTGGTAATTCGAAAAGATAACGTAAACGTTTGATGATTTAGTGTGTTTTTCAATCAAGGTTTTAACATTAAAGGTCTGGTGAAGTTCTCCAAGAAACTTCAGGGTAGACCCTCATCTCATCTCACCACAACTCATCTCACCTCACCTCACCTCACCTCACCTCACCTCACCTCATCTCATCTCATCTCATCTCATCATTTCACCTCACCTCACATCAATTCATCTCATCATCTCATCTCATCTATCTTATCTCATCTCATCTAATCTCATCTCATCTATCTCATCTCATCATCTCAACTCATCTCATTTCATCTATCTCATCTCATCATCTCAACTAATCTCATCTCATCTATCTCAACTCATCTCATGTCATCATCTCATCTCATCTATCTCAACTCATCTCATCTCATCTCATCTATCTCAACTCATCTCATCTCATCATCTCAACTCATCTTATCATCTCAACTCATCGCGTCTCATCTATCTCGTCTCATCATCTCAACTCATCATCTCAACTCATCATCTCAACTCATCATCTCAACTCATCTCATCTCATCTATCTTATCTCATCATCTCAACTCATCTCATCTCATCTATCCCAACTCGTCTCATTTTATCTCATTTATCTCATCTCAACCCTTCTCATCTCAACTCATCTCCTCTATCTCAACTCTACTCATCTCATCATCTCAACTCATCACCTCATCTCATCTAATCTCATCTCATCTCATCTATCTCATCTCATCATCTCAACTCATTTCATCTCATCTATGTCATCTCATCATCTCAACTAATCTCATCTCATCTATCTCAACTCATCTCATCTATCTCATCTCATCATCTCAACTCATCACCTCATCTCATCTAATCTCATCTCATCATCTCAACAAATCTCATCTCATCTATCTCAACTCATCTCACTTATCTCATCTCATCATCTCATCATCTCAACATCTCAACTCATCTCATCTCATCTACCTCAACTCATCTCATCTATCTCATCTCATCTCATCTCATCTATCTCAACTCGTCTCTTCTCATCTTATCTATCTCATCTCATCTCATCTATCTCAACTCATCTATCTCAACTCATCATCTCAACTCATCTCATCTATCTCATCTCATCTCATCTATCTCATCTCATCTATCTCATCTCATCTCATCTCATCTATCTCATCTCATTTATCTCATCTCATCTCATCTCATCTATCATAACTCGTCTCTTCTCATCTTATCTATCTCATCTCATCTATCTCAACTCATCATCTCAACTCATCTAATCTCATCTCATCTCATCTATCTCATCTCATCTCATCTATCTCATCTCATCTCATCTATCTCATCTCATCTCATCTATCTCAACTCATCTCATCCATCTCATCTCATTTCATCTCATCTATCTCAACTCGTCTCTTCTCATCTTATCTATCTCATCTCATCTATCTCAACTCATCATCTCAACTCATCTAATCTATCTCAACTCATCATCTCAACTCATCTCATCTCATCTCATCTCATCTCATCTCATCTATCTCAACTCCTCGCCTCGCCTCGCCTCGCCTCGCCTCGCCTCGCCTCACCTCACCTCACCTCACGATGTGACTAAGAACGACCAGGTCATAGAGAAGCCTGTCACTGGAGGAACACTAAAACTATATTGTAACATAAAATGTGTTACATTTGTGCTTGTTATTCCAAACGATAACGTTAACTTTTTGATGTTGATTAAGTGTGTTTTTATAAAGTTTTCAATAAAGGTTTTAACATAAAAAGGCCTGGTAAAGTTCTCCAAGAAACTTCATGGTAGACTGATTATTCTCTGGAGTTTGGAGTAGGTGTGTCAGTGGTGTTACACGCGTCATCCAGGGTGGATTCAGGTGAAGTGCACATAGATAATATATGTGGTATGGTTAAGTTTATAGGTCTGTGGTTTAACACAGCAGCAATGAAATGGTGGCCTATATCAATCACATCGTCGAGATTGATGACACAACATCACCTTCAGTTATGACCTGTATCTATGACACGCAGTTACTGAGGTACAACTTTGAATCCGCATGGAAAAGGTGTTAGGAGCAGTACGTGTGGTACATGTGCTGTACGGTTTTGACGCAAGGATCTTACAGATGTGGTACACTTCAAGATGGTACACGTGTGGTGCAACTGTCAATCAGGGACGGTACAGGTGTAGCAAAATATACAGGTTTGCTCAACATTGTTGCGGTTGAGGTGAGGTTCATGCATGACACAGATGAGGTCATTACCAGCCTGCAATGCGATGCCTTGTCCAAACAGGATGATGCTCAAATAGAAAAGCTGAAAATGTAAAAACGGCAATGAGGGACTAAATATATTCTAACGGGAAAGAATATCCATGTTGTATATAGAATTCAATAAAATATATCAAATTCTGAAATGAATGAATACAACTTTGAATACATACTCATGAAAACATCTCCTTGATTCACAATTTGCACAGACAGAAATGAGAGGGAAAGGGATGTCGATCAATTGCTGGTTCAGTAAATGATCCTTAAATAGGCTTAACCTCACCACCGTAATGTGTATGATAGACTACAGCAAAAGTATATGTACCCCACGAATCTGTACCTCACGAATACAGACCTCCCCAAGCAGCTGCTTCTTTTACTCAAGCCGTTAATGAATTGCTGGTCAACTCAAATTGAGATGCATCCGCACGGGCCAATGGTCACTTCAGAACCCAATATCTATTAGAAGTGGAATATTTAGGGTGATTCTTTAACTCCTTTGCTTTTCTGTTTGTCACTAAATCTGTTATGCTTTTTGCTTTGAAAAGAGGAAGGTAATCATCCTGGACCGCCTCAGCACAGATCTCCAACACCCCTTAATCACCTACTTTACATGGATGACCTTGAACTTCATTCCAAAGGAGAATCCACTCTAAACAGCAGATTCACCTTGTCCTTTTCTAATGATATTGGCATGGCCATTGAACTCAACAAATGCAACATTGTTCATCTGACACATGGCAAGGTAGAAGAGGGATGATCAGTCAGTTTACTTGGGGGGGGGGAGTTATAGTCTCTCATTGAAAGTCAAGCCTATATGTACTTCGGGATGCAGGTTAGGGACAAACTCTAGATTGCCCATATCAAGCAAAATATTCGGGGAGAGTACAAATGGAGACTTAAGATCATCTGAACGCTCTCAACACGGTCAAAACCACAAACACTTAAGCTGTACCCGTCCGTTTTGTATGCTTTGGGTGTTGATCGGACAAAAGAAGAAATCAGACAATAGATCCAAGAAGCCTCGCTCTTCCCTCAATCGCTTATAAACTAGTGTCCAAAAGAAAAGATACCAACTTATTTTCAAAATTGTTTTTTACTAAGTGAATTGTCAAGTATGAAAACATGCCAATTCGTATTGCACATCCCAAACACAGCATAGTCGATAAAAAATACCGGGAACACGTGATCACTTCCGGGAAAAAACGTAAATTTTGTGAAAGTGACATTTCCCTCTCTAGCATGTTCTGCACGTGCAGAAAAACTGTATAAAGATCAGACACGTTGATATCACAGCAACAAAAAGAACACAAGATATGCCACGTTTGACAGCCATCGAGAGAGAGAGAGCCGTTGAAATGGTCCAACAAGGAGCGTCACACGTCGACGTCGCCAGAAGGTTGGGCTGCGCACGCATCACTATCACCAGGTTGATGCAGCGGTTACGTCAGACAGGTCAGACGTCAGACAGGCCCAGGAATGGAAGACCACGAGTAACCACGCCCCGTGAAGATCGTTACATCCGGGTATTACACTTGAGGAACCGCACCATAACAGCGACGTCCACGGCGGCTACAGCACTGGGACACAGGATCAGTCGAGAGACCGTCTACAGGAGACTACGACAGTATGGTATCCGGCCACGTCATCCCTAACGCGGACCGCTCCTGACGCCTCGACACCGGAACAACAGACTGATCTGGGCCAGGCGAGTTCGACGTTGGCAACGGCGGGACTGGGCACGTGTTATGTTCTCTGATGAGAGCAGATTCCTCATCTTCAGAAACGATGGACGGCAGCTTGTATACCGATGATTTGGTGAACGTTTGGCGCCTAACTGTATCCAACAGGTCCGGCCGTTTGGAGGTGGAGGGTTAATGGTTTGGGGTGGCATATGGGGTGACGTCAAAACGATGCTTGTCGTAATTCGTGGAAACCTGAATGCACAGCGTTATCTTGATGACATCCTACGGCCTGTTGTGGTGCCCTTTATTCAGCAACAGCCTCGTGGACTCCTTTTCCAACATGACAATGCAAGGCCACACACAGCAAGATTGACACAGAACTTCCTTGCCAACGCCAACGTACAGGTTTTGCCATGGCCCGCATGTTCACCGGACATGAATCCCATCGAGCACTTATGGGACCACCTCGATCGGCAAATCCGACGTCGCCGTGTGCCTCCAGTCAACGTCCAGGACTTGGAACGATGTCTCCTCGGGGAATGGCAACGCATCACTCCCAACGTCATCAGACGTTTGACGTCATCAGTCCGTAGGCGTGTTCTGGCATGTATTGATGCTCACGGTGGACGTACCCGCTACTGACTTGACTTTGAGACGTGTGGTGTGACATTTCCCGTTGTTTCTGTGATCAGTGCTCTAACAAAATGTTCATTTTTCGACCCCACCCATTTTTAAAGGCTTGTCATATTGGTTGTACAGATTTTATTGAAATGATTTTTTTGTACAGATGTTGTGAAAGGATTTCTCAAAAGCAAAACACCAATCCTAAACTTCTGCATTGTTTAGTTTTTCTTTTATGTCGATGCAAACAGGTGGTATCGTTTCTTTTGGACACTAGTTTATTTACCAACTGTAATGGAAGGACATTTTTTATTTTAATCTGTAAATAATAATAACAATTATTATTATTATTATTATTAAATCACCGAAACAATAACTATATGTCAGTTACTATTATCATCATGCCCATAACTTTGCCCCAGTCCTGAGTGATATGATCATTTTTTTCGTGTGGTAGGCATCGACTATTTCACTGTCTGTATAATGGAGTCTTACGTTCTCAACACACGCCAGCAAAGTCACTGTGATGCGCAGAGCTCGGGATTTGAAGCGGCCTTCAAGGAACTGAAAAACAATTTATAAAACAAAAATCGTTTTATATGAATGACAATAAACTCTGATCATTAAAGGCTTCTTACAATTTATGCATACTTAGTCAGCGAAATATCAATGAACATGATGAAAGAGCGATAGCAATCATTTCTACAACAATGATCTATTTTAGTTATCTTGAATATCGATAATTTAAGCTCATAAGTACTTATGATTAGGAATGTGGATTTTAGTTTGTAATATCACAACTGCACCACAAGGAGACCATAGGTGCGTGTCATAATCGTATGTAACGGCCACTAATGGCCAAAGAAGACAGATCAATGAAACTACGACGAACGGAGTAACATTGGTCATGTTGGATATGTCAAATGTACATAAGTGTACTTCCCACGAAAAGGTAACGGTATAAAACAGAACATTAATCAAGAGAATCTGTTGATTGTTATTCCCGAATCCACAGATTCTAGTGATTTCTCTGACTTCTATTTCTCTATACTTTTATTTCTCTATACTTTTTGCATTATGATCTACAGTTGCTTCGGATTTACTTCTTTTAAATGCTCATTCAGAAGGGACAGCGAAATAATGGCTCACATCAACTACAAGAACGTAACGTCTTCATATTTTTTTAGCGACAAAAAAATGTTTCAAGTGTTACCTGGAACGGGCTAGAGATATTGAGTCTCTTCAGAAGGGGCAACAACAGGTATAATTCCAGAAGGTTTCCCACGGAGAAGGCTATCTCACTGAGACTCCACATGATGCCGTGGCTGTACGCCTCTGCTGACGCTCCAAGCATGGTAATCGACGACGTGAACGTCGCCATCAACGACAACGCTACGGGGAAGAAGGTCATTGAGCGTCCAGCCAGAAGGTATTCCTCCAGTTTACCATGTCTGCCGACTATGGCTTGATATATGCCAATACTCACCGAGACGGCCACCATGACACCAAACACTGTGTAGTCCCACTTTCCAAATGTATGAGACTCCATTGAGGCGGGGAGCAAATGTTTCTAACCTAAATGTATATTGAGATAAAGTAGAGGCTCTAATGATAATTCTTTAATATGAATGACTTATATCAGTGACTGGATTGTCAGTGGCCTGAAAAATTAGCTATGTTTAATACCAACAGAAACAGATACTTTCGATGCTTCAGTTCATATCAGTGGCAAATTGGGAAAAAAATGATTCAGCCATGATCAGAGATATCTCCCGCTTCGTAAGTTGACAGTGAACCCAATCATAAGACTCAACTGCGTAAGGAATAACAGAGTGACTGAGTATTCCAATGGACAAAAATGTCTTGCAGACGAAAAAGGAGAAATTGGTCCTACAGAGTTAGAGACAAATTAGCATTCTAGATAAAGTGCAATAATGTTTCTCTACCAGGTGTGTGTTCTTAGATCTTGCGAGGTGAGCTAAAATGTAGCAATGACCTGTCCAGAGGAAATTGTTTTGATTCTTCTCTGCTGTGAATGTGTAATGATTTATAACGAGAGAAAATGTTTGTAGATAACAGACAATAATCTGTCAAGCTTTATTTCAACAGCAATATTTTTACTCCAGTAATCAGACAAATTACCAGTTCGAGCTTTTAAGTCAACTCCTCAAATGCAAGGGTCGTTCCTACAGTTTTGCAATGGATCTTAGATTTTATTTCCTGAAAGGTTTAAACCATTCTATCTGATTGTTTGTCATAAAATTTGGACGGGTATAATATATCTGCATTCATATCAGATAATGACTTATCAAGCACTACAAATATACCTAAAGTGCATTGGGGCCTGCTAAAGGAAAGACAGGCTGTGTCAACTGTGAAACGAGGATGTATCAAATGTCTCGGCAAGCTGATCGGAGTATGTTGGGCATGTGTACGTCAACCCTCCACTGGTTAGACACACGAAGGAGATTGATTGAACAGAATCAAATTACTAATTATTTTATATGTATGAAATTCTCCGTTTAAACTGCAATCTCATTTAAAATTAGAACGTGGTGCATCTTAAACATGCATGTTTTCGTCAGTCTCTTGTCATTTGTTTTTGTGCAAGGAAAACTATCGTCTTGAGTTCAATTCTTAAAATAAGCAATTAACGAGCCATACTTGGTTCTTCGATTATTTTATAGGCTAGTATTACATGCTAGTGGGTACATCACGGGTAAATATTCCTCTTTGGGGACATGTATACGATAAATGCAATAATGTTGCGAGGAGAGCTCAAATTTAGACCCTAATCAAATTATATATAAAAACCTTTTGAACATATATAGGTGCACAGTGTGTACTCATTGGTATGTCATTTTTTTGTTTGAAGATTTGGGAAATATGTGGCCCATCTGTGTATTAATCATTTCAAATACAAACACCTGTTGTCAGTACAGAAATCCTTTTATGATTTTCATGTTCCAGTAGCCACGATTGATAGAATGTTAATATTGTCGGACGCAAAAGCATTTTTTATTTTTACACGTATTAGCTGGGGAATCGCTGTGTTCAAAAGGATTAATGGCCTTATCATGGTAGCATGATACTCGTGTCATCATATCACATTTCGATTTTTTAAGATGAGGAATTCAGAGAAAGCAGGAAAAACAGTCGTATGGAAAATGACGTATGGTCATTTGAAATGCAAGGACCTCTCACGTGATAGATTTACTTTTATATTGAACTGTAATGCAAATGTTTAATCACTGAAGGCATTTAAATGATGTTGCATCGGAAAGATGAGTGAATTTAGTGTTATGCATATACATGTTTTCCATACAAATGCAGACAGGTTACGTCACGTTTGTCTGCATGATATCATTTGAACAAAAGAGGATTCAAAGCGGTGCTACTGCTAATAATAATGTGACATTGACAATGATATCTTCAGTGATTACATTACATATTGTGTTAATTCAGTTAGAACAGCCAACCATGGGCGAATCTTTCGTTGTGTCGTTCTCTGTGTGAAATAAAAAAAGACTTGCTTTGGGGAAAATGCAGCTTTCTTGGTGCTACATAAAGTCAGTTTTTAATCTCCGAAAAGATGTATTATTGAAATGTACGTCGTGAATCAAGAAGGATACACGTGGTAGAAAAATAAGCTGGTAAAAAGTGGCATTCACATACTCCAAGACACATTGCAAGATGTCCTGCACTTTACTGGAGATGTTATTGTTATGATGGGTGGTGATTTCAACGCACGGACTAGGACTTATATATATAGCATCACTTTTAGGTTTTTATGACTTTCTATCTGACAGACTGAACCTACGTCGCTTTTGACAAATCAACTAATACATATGGACATCATCTTCTATATATATGTATATCTTTTAGATCGATGTACATCTTTTAATGTGAATACATTGAATGACAGACGGAAAGATGCCGATATCATTGACTCCACATTTATAGGCTTTCGGGAGCAAGCGTGGTGGTCTATGTCATTGCTTCATCTTCTTTGTTTGTATCTTGTTGTGCATTCAATATCGAATCGAGGTGAGACTGATCACATCTGCCTGTAACATGCTCATTTCAGTCAAACGCCACCGGCCACGCCGAGATAACTGCATGCGCGTCTCTCGCGATGTACAAGTACAGGTGTCTATCAACCCGACATTTTAGATGTACCAACTACACAAGCTGAAATATATCAATGTATTATGAAATTAAAATCATCAAAATCTGCTGGATCGGATGATGGTATTGCTGATACTAATTGCCTTATAACTATAGAGGATTTAAGCTGTTGAGTGTTTTTAGCGATTTTGATAATATTATAGCTATATTAAACAAACGATTAACATTTGGCATATGATAGAATATCTGAATCGCAAGCAGGATTCCGAACACCACAGACTATAATTTTATTTTGCACGCTATTATACAGAGATTCTTGTCAAAGAGACGCGGCAAGCTTTATGTGACCTTTGTTGATTTTAATAAGGCGTTTGATTTATTGTTCTACAATGTAGAGGCGTTCCTTTCAAAATGTTAATTGCCTTAAATTCATTAACAATTGTGTCAAAGAATGTGTCAGAGCTAACAACATTTTGCCAGACCCTTTACAATGCCTGCTGGGCCTAAGACAAGGATGCGTGTTGGGCCCACTATTGTTCTGAATCTTTATTAAGGAACTTGCTGATGAAATAGAATCTACATGTGGATATGGTGTTCGGCTTCATCCAGATATCATTCATTTTTTCTGCTTTTGTTTGATGACGATGTGGCACTTACTCATCTACAATTATTGGTCTTCAGAAACAGATTGACACTTTAGATAGCCTTTGTCCTAATTTCCTAATTGCAATGTGTCGGTTAATTTAGAAAAAAAAAAAATACTTTTATTGGTGGCATTTTGTCAAGATAAGAAAAATGGTTTTGTCGTGACACACAGATAGAATGTGTTACAATTATATTCATACCTTGGAATATTATTTTCTAATTCTTTTTCATATAAAAAGCTTCTTGCAAGTGTCACGTTGCAAGGAAACAAAGGTTATGTGTGTTAAAAGGACATTTCAGCAATTCAACCTCTACCTGATGACACATATTTTAAGAAATATGTCCCTTTTTGTTGTACGGTTCAGCCACATGGTGTCATCGCTGGTTTTCAGTGGTTTATTTATATAATTTTTTCACCGAGGCGCACTACTTTTAGCGACATTCATGCATATTCATTGTCCAAACGACTCTTTGAAAAGGAATAAAACAGCAAACGTGCAGGCTCGCTCGTTTCATTTCTAACCAGCATTTTTCCAACTGTGTTTCCCCGTTTTCAGAGAACACTAATGTTTGAATCTGGTGGTAACTGACCACCTTCTCCCGGACATATTTCTTCCGGTTCATTGCAGTCTGACAGTTGCAGTTCTTTTCGCCTTTTGCCCTAATTGATAGGTCCTATGAACATTGTTTTGATCCTACTCTCCGTTTATTGGCTACTGACATTGTACATATGTCAAGTTATGTGCATAAATTTACCGATCACCTGATTCATGCCACGCCAGTTTGTATTCATATACCCGGAATGGTTATCAATCTCGCCATTTTTGTCTTTTTTGATATATATACAACTGTTTTTGGTTAAACTATTGTAGATAAAACATGTTTTACGTTGTCGAATTTAATCATATGCATCCTTAACATAATGTAAACAAACTGGTTTAAGTCTATGAGGTCAAATGTCCATCCAGGTAGGTGTTTGGTCATAAACGTTTTAACATGCAATGTTTTTTCATGATTGGTATTTTGGTCACCACTTTGAGTTTGATACTGTAAACTCCATTCTTAAATTATTTTAATTTTGAAGTTTTAAGAATATGCTTCGTGATATCATTGATCAGATTTAAACATATTTAAAACAAGGCTCATATCACTCACGTGTGCACTAAGAAGTACTAACTGCTTCTAACTAGTCTACATATACTGACCATGAGCTCTTCATGAGCAAACGATCAACATTCAATCTGAATTCGGACTTGCAAGTTTGCATGCAAGACGAGGTTCCTACCCCAGGTCAGACAGGTGTGTCGTAGCTGTCCCACTTACACACAAATGTTAGGCTGATATGCCGCAAATAAGGTACACAAAGTATATTTGTTTTCATCTCGATTTGATATCTGGCACCAGTTGCCTGTTTCAAATGTATGTGTACTTACCTACAGCATCAGCATTGCAATGTAGCAAACCGCAGGTGGCTATTAGTAGTCGTGTTACATGTGTGTCACACGCAGGCGATCAGATAACGTGACTAGTTTATATAAACATATTCATAACACACAACACTCATCCGGCCTAATCAAGACAGACATCACTATCATCGCCGGTTTAAATATTCAAAACGGTTACTACTAAAGCCTGTGAATACAAATGGCCTTAACCCCCTGGATGCCAGAGGGACATATATGTCTCTCCTCTACAAAACTCACTTTGAAGTCGAATAAAATTCAAAATAGGCCTACATCATCCACACAGATACAGAAAATCCCTGTTCTGTGATATCACCCACTGGCATTTTGGGCCAAGCAAAAGTACTGAAAATGACCTCTGAAAATTAGGTACATAGTAAATGTCGCCATTTTTTACACATTACTAAATAACCACTCACGGCGTTATTTACAGCATGTTTTGAAATCTAAATTTCGGATATTCACTCGGAGAAATTAATTTTAAAAATAGCATATTAGTGATCACGGGTATCTGGGTTTTTTATGAAAGCACCAATGATCATTCCAAAACGTCCCCGATAACCCTAGAATCGTTTCGAATGTTTTCGAAAATACGCAAACACAAACGCCGAAGTGAACTTTCCGCCATATTGGATAGTGTTTACAAAATCACGTTTCACGTACACCGGTTATGAGACGCCTGTAACATCACGTAGGCCTATATTTCAAACTAGCTGCGACACATGTATCCTTGAATTCCTCATACATTTTAGAATCAAATGACTAATGATCTTTGTCACCAATACAAAGTGCATAGATGAAATCAAGCAAAATAAGTTAGGTGTGAAAACGAACGCTGTGCTCGAAAAACTGCACTTGTTTGAAATGTAAACAAAGCAAAATTCAGATTTTACACAGTGTAGCCTTTTCTCCTATTTTGAACTATCAATTCGTCTATTCGTTCAAGATATTGGCTCAACATTTTCAGAATAGGCATGGGAAGAGAATCGTAGGAAGAACTAGGGAATTTATAATAGATACATTGCAGTGATTTGTAGTTTTCAACAGAAATTGTCAAAGTTCCGTCCTGTGTGACGCCATGATCGACGCAAAATCACGCACAAAGACAACGGTATTTATCGGAATTTCTGACTATTTCTGTTGGTTTCAATGAAAAATATAACAACAAATAACAGAACATAGATTGTCAGAATGTTTCTGATTACTTACATGTCATATTTATGCATATACGATCCCTGAATCAACGAAAGTCCCTTCGTAAAATCCCGCGTACTGTTGACAGTGAACAAGCCATTTTGTAAAAGTCAGTCACCGGTAGTGATGTCATACGTCAACATTGTTGTACATATTTGGTAATTTCTTTCAGGTGAAGGTCCTTGAATGAGAGTGCACAAGATCACTGTATCATGCTGTTTACAGTTTCAGTTATGATGTAGATTGTGCATATCTTTTATATATTTTTTCACACAATTAATTTCATTTTGGATATTTGTCAATATTCAAAATGATATCAGGCCAGGCCACAACATGAATCAACGAACCTTTGGTAATCTCATGTTTGTTTGAACACTGTTTACATAAGAATTGATAGGTTTATAGTGTCGAATACAATATTTCTTTCCTTTGGACAAGTGGTACAAGATGAAGTGTAAATGTAACTGCAGCATGTACGTATTTCTTGGGATGTGTAATGGTCAATATTATAAGTTCATATAACCAATGTCCATGAATACTAGTAGCCGTTTCATTTTATTTTATAACTAAAACTGAATATTTTACTCTAACAAAATGGATAATATTTTTTGTTAAAATATATACACACATTTCTGAAAGAATTGTCTTGGTCTTTGAATTGTTTTTTATGTCGTTTGATACACAGAACAGTGATATCTGACGATTCGCCAGATGCGCGTTATTCACAATTTACAAATTATTCCTCTCGTTTTGCATTATATAATCAATGGGTTCATTCTTTTGTCAATATTGTGATCACAGGATATTAAACTGTTTACTTTATTTCTCAAGGAATTGTAAAAAGTATAAAAAATAAAACCCATGCCATGTACCCCGTTGGTTCAACCTTATATGATTATCCTGATAATTCTATATCAACAGAGCTTTCTTCGCATCTTTTATTGTATAATTCTGAGACGAGTTGAAGAGAAATAATAACATGATAATGAACACATATATGTATAATATTTAATCTAATTCTGGTTGTTTTGAAATATTCTTATGGGTATTACATTACGTAAATTGATGCCAAACAGGTGTGTGTCTTGTCCAATTAAGATACACGATAAACTATCTAATTGTTTAGATATTTAAGTCATTATTTACTTGGTGAAAGCAGTCATTTTATGTTGTGTCGAAAAAGCGTCTAATTCGGTTTTACACATCGAGATTTGCCATACCATGAATGAAAATTAGGGGAGATATATATTAATAAAAATACCAGTGTCGTCTTTCTCCGACGTTATCATCATGTCTTATGGGTTTTTTATAACTAAACGTATACATTTTCTGTATCGATATTTGTGTTGGAATAGTTTGGTTCCTCGTGAACAAATATATACGAAAAATATTGTCCTTACCCACAGCTAATTCTCACCAATTGACCTGAGTAACAATAAACTCGTGCTAAGCATACCATTTTCTTTGTACGTGTGTAACCTCTCTGTCGCCTTTTGACGTCATAGAGAAAAACCAGTTTTCGTCATTTACGGCATGCTACTTTAGGCATTGAATGTATGTCGTTATACATACGCATAGAACTCCATTTGATATATAGTTATGTCGTTCAGATATCAGGCAGTATTTTGTTCGCTCACAGTTTCCGTAAAGCTTCTAAATAAAAAAATCGTCGCACAGTACTTTTATCGGTGTACGATAAAAAGCGGAGAAATTTCCTGTTTTTCAATGCAGAATAAGCTCTCGTACAACACTTAGAAGTGTCTTTTTTTAAAACCGGTTTAATATTTGTAGTTAAATTTACCCCATCAAATAGGAAATTTAATATTCTCCACCTAATTCTTTAGCCAGCGGTAGATCCAGTGCCGCGTGAGCGCATTTCTCACACAGCCTTCACTTTTCCGATTTTAGGAAAATGTGCGTCAGAAAAAGACTCGGCATCCAGAGGGTTAACAGTGATAACTAAACCAAACTCCAGCTCAACCTCAGAACGCTTCCTACGAGCGGCACATCCTGCTCGAGGTCAATGGACAGACAATGACGTTGCTCTGGACATGGATCTTTTTTCTGGGTGATGAACCGACATTGCGTGTGTGTGTGTTCGCATGGGTATATATATACCCCTCTATTGTATATACATGAATACTTATTATACAAAAAACAGAGTCGATTGTACGATTCCGACTTTATCATGGAGTATGTGTTTATGAATCACTATCAAATAGTGAGGAGTTCGCGAAAAGCTGGGCGTATTCCGCCTAACCAGCAGCACCTGTAACCAGCACATGCAAAGACAAGTCATTTTCATTTTTGCTTCTTTCTAGAAATACTGCCAACATATATACAAACATTCTGATGGTATATTATTTTGAAAAGGTTATGCAATTGCAGCACAAATAGTCTTATCTTTGATATGAAAAACATTACGTTAAATATATCTACTCCGGGAGTTAATAAGATACGCACACACAGAAACTCTCCATGGTGGTGAGGCGAAGACGTACAAGAAACCGTTAGACAAGTATTACAATATCTCCGGAAGCTTGATATCATCATATCCTGTGCAAACTGTGACTGAACTTCGCGGTGAGCGATGTGATTCAGAGACTCTTTATATGCAGATTACACTGCTTGATATGTGTTTTTATTTAGAAAATAAAGTTTCTTAAGATCACATATTTGTTTGGGTGTTATTTATTACAGTGTAGTCACTTAGTAACAGAGTTTACTTTATTAAAAACAAAACATGTAAAACAATACCAATTTCAATTGTGTGCTTTGGGCAAAACAATTACCTGCCTATTGCGTAAAATGAGCAAGCTGGGTGCCCATGTTGTGAAATATTAAGAGAATTATTTTTTATTCACAACTATTGCCCATTGCAGATAATTGTTTGCAAATTGCGTCCATTCGGGCTGTATTGCCCACTGCACGCATTTTGGGCAGATGCACAGATTGCGTGTAACATATACACTTTACGAGCTGTGTCAAGTATGCGGATATTGTAAGACGACACCCCTCAATTGTTATGAATACCTTTAAACGTTACGAAAAAAAATAATTCCTGTGATCTATTTAGGGACATCAAAGATTCTAAATCACACAATTCTATATCCGACTGTGACTCCATATATTTTGCAATGTCCTACTAGTGACATGCGGTGGATAACTAAACATTGCAATGCTTGCTTAACTTTCGTTAATTAGGGGTGTCCACGTAATGTTGGCTGTTGCCTCTCGTGTACTGCTACATATTCCATGTAAACTACCACTGTATCAACAAAGGCAGCCCACCAATGACTTAATAGTGTACATATACATGTTCTGTCGACAAACTACTACACATGCGCACAAAAATCCTACTAAAAGGATACACATATTTGTCAGTGCGCACATGTTATTAAAATTAGCACACAATCTATTTTCTTGATTTCACTAAACGGTATTGAGTGCGGATATGATATCTTGTTCGTATAAAGTCATTCAAATACACACAACATAATTTATCTTGTGCGTATGATATATACTAACGGAAAAAACTGTGCTTGATATCAAGTGATGTAAATGTTATGTTATTCAACGGCATAATGTTTGGTCGTTCGTCTGATCAGTGTTTTGTTGTAACAAATTCATTGACAGAACCCATACCAGGAAACAGGAGACACGCCATAAAAGGGGCTGGTGTAACAATGTTAATATAATGTTTGACCAACATTTGCTTAACACCCTATATGTGCACTTCACCTCATGCTCGTATGTATATACTGCACATAAATATATACCCCTTGCATTTTATATCACCTGTCGTAAATATTCTCAATTGGTATACAATGGTCTATCAAGTCAAATACACTACTGTGGATCTGCTGACTGCACCTTTAACCCAATACAAATACAGACATATATGTTGTAATAGGCATTTGCAATGAAGTGAGGTGCACAACCATTGTGTTAAGCATCAAATCCATAATATAAACTGCACGTATGAAATAGTTTAACTTTTTACAAATAGAAAATAGGTGTTAACTGAATGATCAGCTTGGATATTGAGACCAATAATAGCTTAATCTATAATGTATGGTTTTATTAGTTCTGAATATGTATGGAAAAGATGTCAGCCATTGATCAAACCCTCCTGTTCGGGTGTATATGTGTATGGTAGAGCGTTCAGGACCTGGCTGATGATTCTGCCTGTTGCCCATCTAGTAGGCCGCTTGGTTCTTCTGTATTGCTGTCTGGTGGGCGGACAAACCTCTGCAAAAAAGGAGGATGCTTAACAAAGTTACAGTAGCCCTTAGATTACAGTGAGTGAGTGAGTTGGGTTTAACGCCGCTTTTAACAGTATTCCAGTTATATCAAGGCGTGTCAGCTTAATCTGGGAGGAAAGCCCGACGTGATGCAGGTCTCAGACGTTTACCACTTCGGTGAAACCCATGAGCACGGGTATGGTGCTGACAAACCAAGAAACATAATCGGGGCGATCCGGGATTCGAACCCACAATCATAGGTTACTCTGCACAGCGAATCGCGTCGCCTTAGACGACTGGGCCACCCGTGTCCCCTCTTAGATTACAGCGCAGAACAACATCTGTTTCAACCTTCTTTTGTAACCACAAAGAGGCAGATATTGACATGAATGTTTACTTATTGACACACAATCAAACATATACTATTTCTCTTCATCACGCGTTTCGACGAACAATCGACACTGATTATTTTCCGTTTACGTTTTGATTCATATGGTGTTTTACGCACATTTCAGTATTGTTTTGTTAAATATATTCAAATAATATATTTAATAAAGCTTCTCTGCAGAAGATATGAACGTTTTCTAGTATTTATGGACATTGAAACAATGAAGCAATTATTATACATTTGGCATTGGATGGATATGACCGTCAATTATGTCATCGACAATGCCCTGGTCTAGCTTTCCACCAATTAGGTTTTATCTCAGTCGGTGTTGAAATACGCATTGTTTAAATAACTGATACTTGAACGTGCGACCATATCATACCTTTAAGAGCATCAGTGGTATAAACAACGGCCTTTATTCGGGGTATTTCACTGATGAGATACACAGAATAAAGACTGGCCACAAAAAGATGCTTCTTTTGGTTATTTTGTTCACGTCATATATTGTATGTTCTTGAATTATATTCCCATTTTCCTGTTTTCTATTGTATTCTTTGTCGTTTGTTGCTTTGAATATAATCACCATTTTAAATTAGGCATTATTGATTTAGTACACCAGTGAATTAATTATTATAGTTATGTTAGACCATATAGCACTAGAAATAATCTAACAATATAGTGTGTGTCAAAATTGTATAAAATAAATTATAACAACGTTTAGATATATCTAAGTTCAGCAAACAAAATATCCGTGAGCGCACATAACACTTGTTGTTTTATTCAGTTGCTCATTTATTGCTAAATTTTCAGTATTGTTAACGTAAAGCCGTTCATCACGTTCTTCATTAATATCACATATCATGTAAGATTATTTTAGTAATTGGTGACATATATATTAATATATGTGTATTCTTACTATTCGGTTTAAGTCGTATTCTGCTCGGTTGTATTGACGTAAAGCCGAGTATTATAACTTTCTTCATAAATATCAAAGATCATGTAACATATTAGTATTCTTATTATTCGGATTAATCTGTATTCTGCTAGGTTGTATTTAAGTAAAGCCTATCATTACGTTCTTCATACATGTCAAAGATCATGTACGATTATGTTCATAATTGGAAATAAATGTAGTACGTGTTTAACTGAAGAGTTATCTTATTTATTTGCAATTTCGCTATATCTCCTGTATTTCATATTAACCAAATGTAAAGTGTCTTCGCTTCATACTTTAAAATGCAACTGTTTATTGTATGATACATTGTCAGTAAAATTTATGCTTTAACTGTTAATTGATAATTCTCCGAATAAATTAATTGTCTTAGGTTGTTTTTTTTCTTATGTTTTATTATGATATGTAAATGACTGATGAGATACACCGAATAAAGACTGGCCCCTTATAGATGTTTTTCTTGGGTTTTTTAAAGTGTGCGGTTCCGAGCTAATTCCCCGACAGCACATTCTATATGTTATAATCAGTCTAGACCAAACATAAACCTTAACAGGTTATTATACGTGAAAAAGGCTCATTATATGTTCATTACCATCAGACCCTTTGTTCCATATTCTAGACGTATCTTATATTTTATTATAATATAATGAAGACTATTATTATATCGTAAACTTGCAAAGATAAGGAAACGTTTCACGCAACTATCACAGCGAGTCATTCGTTGGCCATGTAAAGGATGGTTGTGATCTGATGTTACCTACCATCATATGTTCTTCTTCAGGTTCACTTCTCCAGAAATACTTTCTCACGTAAAGGGGGTTAACACCGGCCTCGTTACAACCTGCAAGATTAAGCTCAGCAGTAAGGGGTGTCTCCCACAGCAATGTCAGTAATGAAAGGTAATAATATTTAGCAGATTAAAGATCATATGTGTGTATAGCCTGGGAACATATGGTCACATACCTGTTGCCAGACTGAGAGCAACCCCAACCACCTGCACGATGAGGAACCCAAAACACTGGTAAAGAGTGTAGGAGAGGCTGTAGAAGTAGTCGAGACCTGACCTATCAGGAAAAAATATCTTTATTAGAATAACAAGGCCGACAACTAAACACAATATAAGATGCAACCCACGGGGGACAGATAATATATAAGCCAGAGTCGCGAGGAGCTGATACCATTTATTACTCATTGGATATTTTTTGAATATATAACACCAACGCCAGAGAGAAACCAGTGTCGGTTATACGACGGAAAAGATTCCATTGGGCGACGAAAGCAAAATAACGGTGAAAACTATATAAATGGATCACGGGAAATCAGTGATGACACCAGGTGTCTGCCTGCCCTAGCGGCAACATCCGCCACTCACACTTTGCATGGAAAAACATAACTGATCAGATCAGACCTTATTTTGTTGGAACAACGTAAAATACAATCGTCTGTGACAATTACTTATCATATGTAATAACAATAAAAAGGCAGAATTTACCCAGTGAATATCTTTTGATTGTCATTAGTTGAATTCAGTGTCGTCATGGTGTATGGTTGAGAGATGTTAAAACTCGGACAGTGATCTGTAGGGGCGTGGGGGAGAGGGGGCGTCTGCCTCACCCCCGGAGAAACACTGGCACCGACCACCAGCCACGTCAGAAAGCTGAGTCCAACCAATAGTGCAGCAATGGCACTCTGGAAAGATAGGGCTAAAATATGTAAATTATATAATTAAGTTTTTATAAAACAAACAAACATATATCCACATCTCCATTCTTATCTGAAAACCAGCACACACAGTGTATTGTATTGTTTAAAAAGTATGTTACAGTAATGTAGGACATTATTTAGAGAGGATGTTGAGGATAACTTGTTGATGTAGAAGTGTAATTTCGAGCATGCTTACTCATTTGTTCGCCAAGGTTTCATTATCTGGATAGCTCCAACCATGGATGATTATCCTAATTAGAATAATGTCCAAACTTCATACAAGGCACTTATAGGTGCAATTGCATTTACAATAACATTAACATTAGACCTTCCTTTAAAAACAACTTTACATGATTTAATTCACGAAGTTCATGAACTATAAATAAAAGCGACAAAATTCAATAATAATAATAACAATAATAATGTAACATTCTTCATCTGAAACGTGGCACGGTAGAAGAGGGAGGATCAGTCAGTTTACTTGGGTAAGGAGTTATTGACCATCTCGTGGAAGGTCAGGCCTATACGTACCTAGGGATGCAGGTTAGGGACAAACTCTAGAATGCCAATATCAAGGATAAACTTCGGGCAAATGTAGGCTTTAGAAAATCTGGAGTTCAGAGCTGAATGCTCTCAATAAAGTTAAAGCCATAAATACTTATGCTGTACCCGTCCTTTCATATTCTTTTGGTGTTGTTGATTGGACGAAACAAGAAATTCTGGGTACTGACACCCTCACATGAAGAATCATGTCAGACAATAGATCCCACCACCCTCGCTCTTCCCTCAATCGCTTATATTTACCAATGATAGTGGGAGGGCGTGGTTAACGTGGAGGCTCTTCATGATAGAATTGTTTTGTGCACTTTTGCACACATTTATTTGTCTGATGATCCTCTTGTGAAGCATGTCAAGACACATGATGAAAACGAGGCATTCAACAGTTTTCTAAACGTGCAAAGGGTGTGGCACATAATCTCAATGCCAGTGTTGATTTTGTTGATGGTTCTGTACTACTGGACGGTACAGAAATGAGTGACAACCAAACGAAGTGTCATATCAAATTTGCCAAGACTTTTTCAAGGAGAGGCTTTCTGAACGACCACTGCATCGAGTTTATGTGCAGTGTCTTGAGAAGTTCAGCAACCCTGCAGAGTTCCTCGCTTGGATGAAGTCGGCTGGCCTGAAAAGTGAAACAGAAGGCTTTCTGTTTCCTGCTCAGGACCAGTCATGTCCCACTCGAAACCGTCAATGTGTGATTTTGCATCAAAATATAAATATGAAATGTAGATTATGCAATGAATTTAATGAGACTGTCTAATACATTGTCAGTTGATGCCCCGCTTTGGCACAAACATAGTATCTTAAGCGACATGATGGAATGGCTTGATCCTTTAACTCCCTCCCGTCTTCGCAATGCATGTGGTTTCTGTCCCTTTTGACACTAATTGACAAGATTGAGGAAAAACATGGCAAATATGCGGACCTCGTTTTCGAAATGTCACGCTTACATCCCAAGTACCATGTTGTCCGACTCCCCACTGTTCTCGGTGCCTTAGGTTTGGTACCTCCCAATCTGTTGACTGTCATTGGGAGAGTACCCGGGTTTGCTACCAGAAATACAGCCCTTCTGAGAATCTGGGCAATGCAGAAGACAGTGTTTGGGAGTCTTCACGTTCTCCGAAAAGTTCTGGGTGGGTTTGACTAGGCAGCGCTTCCTGGGAAGTCCCAATCGCTGTCTGGGCTGCGTATAGAGGGGGCAAGGGCAGGGACAAAGGCCCTGAGCTGATGATGAACCTAACCAGCATGACTGTGCCAGGATCACCCAAACTCTCTTTGCTGCATTTTTTGTTTTAATCTGTAATCTGTGAAAAGGGTAAGCATGTAAGAAATATAGAAAGTAGAGTCAGTTTTTACTATTCCAACTGAATTATGAGCTTGTGTTTATGAATCCATATCCAATAGTGATGCAACCAGGTGTTCGTGAAACGTGAGCGTATCCTGCCCTTACGGTGTCACCCGTCACAAATACATGCAAAGGGAAGTCAATTGTTCACCTGATGTAGAAGAGGCACATCAGACATGAACACTGATGGTGTAATGTTCCAATGATTTACTGTTCAAAGCGGCGTTAAACCCAAATCACTCACTCCATGTACCAGATTAAGTGGCATGAATTAACATCCTTGGGTGTAGTATTGTACAGGTTTTCATAATATGTTCCGCTGGATGATTATTAATTCAATAATATTGGCCTCGTAGAAAATGTAGTATTGTAATATTCAAAATTTGCCATCTCTTGTATTGAACTCCCCGTTGAATTACTTTTCATAAAGAAATCAGCCGAAAAGACGGCATATGTTCTAACTTAACATTACAAACAAGATGGAAATGAAAAAAAATTATAAGGTGCGAGATATTTGGCCAGGTCGCAAGTCATGATCAGTCAGATAAACTGATCTATAATAACATATTACCATGTATATAAGGTGCGAGATATTTGGCCAGATCGCTAGTCAGTCAGATAAACTGATCTATAATAACATATTACCAATGTATATAAGGTGCAAGATATTTGGCCAGATCGCCAGTCAGTCAGATAAACTGATCTATAATAACATATTACCAATGTATACGTACTCTTGTATTTACGAATGGGAAGAGGGCACCGAGGTAAAACAGGCTACTTGTTGGCCCAGATATGATGGAAGAAGCACTGAAATAGATCTGAAACACAATCATTCCTTAGGTTTCGGCAATAGCTGAATAATAACATTAGTAAATTAATATAACATAATATACAGTGTTGTATAAATGTTTAATTACTGAGACAGAAGCACAGCTTAAGTTGCTTTTACCTGGAGTATGGTGATGGATCTAATGGAGGACACAAAAATCGCCAGACAACAAACCAGAACTCCCCACGCCACCACTGAAGAGAAAAGTCAAGAACTAATTATCAATACACGGTCGAATTATTGTATTAATGTTTAATGTATGCCCAAGGCTGTGTGCATTTCATCTATTGTTCTAATTATACTTAACCATTTAGAAATAAAGAAACGTTTTTTTTTATATTTCCCTATGCATTGCCCTCTACTTGCTTGTTTCCTCGCTGTACTCTTTTTAAAGATATTCGAATAAACAGGTTACTTTTGATATCTATTTATTTCAAAAATTAATATACCCAATTCAGAAAAATATTATCTATATTGACTTGTTATACCTGCTACTTTGGCGACAGCAATTTGTCTAAACTCCGACATAGGAGCAAAATTGGGCTTTACAAAATCCTCCCATGTTATGTTTGCTAGAGCTGACAGTCCTGACGATATCGAGCTGAAACATGTAAAACATTGACGGTTGTTCAGTTCAGATTTACAATGAAGTCGAATAGTATCGCGTTTCATATTTTATGAAACATTTGAGATTATTCGCCGAAAGAACAGACGGCGATAGTACATCATACTACGATAAAATACGCTTTTTGAGTCCAGTACATCACAATGGGTTCCGCCACGACGCTGCTCAGTAGGTGAAGTTGGGTACGGAGTTGGGGTAGTCAAAAAGGGGAAATGACAAAACAGATTCTTTGTATTAAATTTTAATGGTTGTTTTAAAACTGTAAAACTGTACCTAGTTAAACAAAATCAAACAAGCAGATGGTTTGTTTCCACGTCCTTTTCGAATTTATAATCGAATTGTTGATATTCTCAAGAGGCCATGTTAGTAAACAGTCTTAACAAGACTATGTCAACCTACTACTCCCTGCGGGGTTACTCCAAGCATACGCAAACCATTGTGTCCGAGTCACGACAGCCACGACGTCAAAGTTGTCCGAGGCGGGCTTTTGTACCTTATGAATTATGACTGTCACTGGCCGCAGGAATGGGCAATCCTTGAGCCATGACATAATAACACTTTTGTTGTTCAGCATAGGGCATTTAGGAACACACTGCAGTCAAACAACCCGACGGCTATTGCTATTTCTGAGAAATGTTTTTCCTACCGCGACGCCATTTCGGGACAAGCCACCTTACCCAAAACGGTCGATTCACAAATGTGTTGAACGGTGTCGCACAGTTCAAGTTAACTCGGTAAGCAGTCCAGTTCATGGTTTGTAGTTTGGTTGAATCATTAGTTTCAACTTTTACAATGGAAGCAGACCCAACTGACAATAACCAGCGACACAAAACCTCGGCTATGTTTACAAGGGTTAGCTCGGTCCCCACAATGCTCTCGTTGAATGTTTAGTGTTACGTGATTAAAGTGAACCAAATTTGAATCCTACTTAACAGAGCTTTGAAAACGTGTAACTGCACAGTGTACAAAGGTAAGTTATAATGTAACCAATATTACAAAAGTTCAACATTAAAGTACACATAATTCAAAATAAGCGTTCAAAACACATATTGTTTTCAGGAAGAAGTTGACAAATAACTACCAAAGATATATGTTTTAATTTCATCGCAACCTGTTGTGCACTGTTTGGACTCACCAAGTCATTTCTTAGAAATCAGCGCTTTCTTGGCAATCGACCATGTCACCTCCTATTGTTGGGTGGCAAGTTGTAGATATAGTGAGAAAAAATACTAAACGAATTGATTTCTCCAACCAACCTTATTATTTAACTTTCTGCTATTTGTTTTAAATGTGTAAGTCTATGACTGAACAGCCGTGTGTAAGCTGCAGATGAGCCATCATTGGCCCATTACCTGTCAGTTTCAAGATTTCAGGGCATTCATCGCCAGCATAATAAAGACATGTGACAGTTGTGGCCCTGACAAAGTGGTTCGTGTATGTTTTGCATAGTTAAGCGTGTTCTGAAATGTTTTGTTTGTTTGATTGTTGTTTAACGCCGCACTCAGCAATATTCCAGCTATATGACGGTGGTCTGTAAATAATCGAGTCTGGACCAGACAATCCAGTGATTGACAACATGAGCATCGATCCACGCAATTGGGACCGATGACATGCACCAACCAAGTCAGCGAGCCTGACCACCCGATCCCGTCAGTCTCCTTTTACGGCAAGCATGGGTTGCTGAAGACCTATTCCACCCAGCATCTTCATGGGTCTGTTCTGAAATTAATTTCATCAAGTTTGGTAAGCTGTTGTGATCATGTGCCTGTACCGTGTCTGCAGTTATGTCAGGACATTTATTTATGAGATGTCGTTGCCTGTGGAAGGGAGCAGTGATTTCAATGGGCTTTCAGATCCCCTCCTGCCAAATCCTAACGTTGGTGGTTGACGGAGATGGCAATGAATATGGAGGTTTGTTGCAAACATGTTGTCATGAATGAAGTTTATTTTTAAACACTATTTTAATGTTATAGTTTACTTTCATTTTCGTTTGTTTTAGTGAGGACTATAGATGTATTCACACACACGGTTTTGGTGTTATGAGCTTAATATATATAAAAAAGGTTTCTTTAGCAAAAATGAAACCTCTTTTTAACCAATCAGAAACAGACATTCTTCAATGTCCCTAAACTACACATTTTTGTGTTTCCGTTTCTTTAAAAGTTCGACTCTTAACGAAAGCATGTAGACAATTAGTTAGAACAGCCTGTCACTAAGCCTTGTTTTCAATTTAGGGCACCAGATTTCATTTTAAAATTCGGAATCTTGAACTTTTAAAATGTCAAAGTATACTGTAATAGTGCAGGGCAAAATCATCCTTTTTTTCACTTCACATGGGAAAAGCAAACCATTTTACTAAGTTACATACTGTAAATCACGAAATTAGTGCAATCATGTGATGTTACGTGTCACATGGCCAAACTGACCTGAGAGATGCACCGAAGACTGCTGCAAGAAACAATCCCGGCATTCCCGGCAGGTTCCGGAAAATGTCGATTATCATGAAGGGCAACACCTGGGGAAGAGATACAGAATGTGAGTGAACACAGGTGTAGCAGAAGTGGATTGAGGTTTACCTTCAGCGAGGAAGTAAGGTCATAGTTATCACATCATCAGTAGAAATGCTATGATACAAGAATCAACGTAGAAATTTAGCTCACAAATTGGAATAAGGGATGTAACATGGCGATATAATGTCAAGCAACTGCTTAGAACTATTTTAGGTTATATAAGCTTTTCCTCCTTTCATCGAGAATATAGTTGGAACAAGATTGCAAGTACGGGTTGTTATGAGACTACCTTCAATTGTCATTGTAACTGAACTATGACAACATCCGAGTCGCAAGAATTTACACCATGGAGTGGAGTGTACCTGATCAGAGCTGTCGATTTGATTTGATGCAACGGGATCACATCTTTTGTAGTCATAGTAACTATATGCCACAAGTCCACTGCAGACTGTCAGAGATCCAAACGCCACAGAGCACATAAGCCAAAGCAGCATCGCCCTTCAGGAAACATATTCTTTTGTTAGTTTCTTATGCACACTAGTATTATAACATGATGTATTGTGCTTGACACCCTGTCAGTAGAAAAAATAACATCCTGACATCGACATCAATCACCGATGAGACACGAACAGAATACTATTGTATGTATGTATATAAGTAGATAGGTAGGCAGGCAGGTATGCTCGTACGTCCTACATACATACAGATAACATATAAATACACCTTGGTTAATTTTGTGACAAGGATCTGTTTGTACCTTCTGGCATGCTCGGGTGACTTTGTTGACGCAATACGTTGCAGAAATGCAGGTTTCATGAGCCACCCAAGCCCAGCAAAGACTCTAGCCACGCCTACGTTCCATACGGTATGGCGAATAGTCGGGTCAAAGTCATATCTGAAAGCAACAAGGCAAAGGTAAGGTGTCTCAATGTGAAGAATATAAGATCAGGTTAGAATTTGAAGCAAAAGCAAACCTGTTGGGACTACTATATTACTTGTGAGAGACACGGGTCGGGTGAACAGATCCACCTTGTGCTCATGAGGACGGTGAACAATGCACGTTCATATTATGATGTTCAATGTTATCTTCAAAACAATCCCGATTTCAAAAAACGTCAACTTGTATATTTCTACAGCTGCCTAGTTCGCCCTTCGAGTAAGTGAGTGAGTGAGTTAGGTTTAACGCCGCTTTTAACAATATTCCAGTTATATCACGGCGTGTCAGCTTAATGTGGGAGGAAAGCCAGAAGTGATGCAGGTCTAAGACGTTTACCACTTCGGTCAAACCCACGGGCAAGGGTATGGTGCTGACAAACCTGGAAACAAAATTGGGGCGAACCGGGATTCGCCTTCCAGTAAGACACATAATTACATAACATTGATTCACTGACTAGTTTCTATTGTGGATCACACTGCACAGACGGGTACCCCATTACGAACATCTTGCATCCCTCCTCTCTTGTAGTAACGTGAAGGGAGTCAAGCTCCCTGCTTCTATTATCCTGTTGCAACACTCCTATCCTGTACTCACATAAAGGTCAGAAGAGCACAAGCCGCTACGGTGATGCAAACCTCTTGATTCTATTCACCTTTGTACTCACATGAAGGTTAATCTGCCACTGTCTGCAGCAGCATCACAGACCTTCTGTATGCCTCCAGTGTCGATTGTTCCCTGTTATCAAATATCGATAAAACAACGATTTGTCACATCTAATCGACAGTGTCATATCAGTGATAAATTTCGAACACAGTAGGTGTTTCTCCATTCTACAATGACGACAAGAATGGTGTTAAAACGGTATTTTGGAATGAGTCAGTATATATGGGTCCATGAGATATTATAATGTTACGAATAGGGATCACAGGTCGTGATAAATGCAACAATTATTACTCAAGTTAAGATTATTTAAATTAATTCTTGACTTTTCCAAAATAATGGTTTTTGAAAGAGGAATTGATGAAAGAACCCTCCATTGAAATATATCGTAACCTGTTGCATATTTTCATTGCTTAGGCTAACTCATTTATTGGAAATCAACATGACATCTCTTGAAATTGTGAAAACAATGCTCAACGAATTTCTCCAACAAACTTTATATAATAACGGGACTTGAGTTATTTTTTTATATACTGATGTAGCAGCTTGTTTGAAATGTCTCCCCAACAATAATATATATTACAAATAACTATCTGTCCACCCTAAACGTCGATCTGGCTAAACTTGAATCAGGCTATGCGGTCCATGTCTGCTGAACTTGTTGTTCATGGCAACAGTCCTGTTTATAAGTTGCATTAATCAAGAGGACAGTCCCAATCTGAAGTTGGTGATCAACCTTAACCTGATGATGTACTGTGAAAATGAGCCTACTGGCATAACGATTGGCAAGGAAAACACCCTGAAGTATTGCTAAATGCCAATGTATTTAGCTTCAAACGACGACACGAGAGAGAATGCTCATTTTTAGCGACCAATGGTTATGTGAAACTTACACAGTTTTACTTAATAGTGTCTATTATGAAATTGACCCCTAGGTATTCGAATGATAAATATTTGCAGTTTGTTTCAGAACAGCATTCTATTTAACAAGAGATGACAAAATGATGCCCTGATTTGGCGAGACAAATACATGTTGCTGCAAATCTCACCTTTATTGTGACTGTTAGCACTCCAATAATCATAAGTACATACTGGATGACATCTGTCCATATCACAGCTTTCAGACCACCCTGATAACACAACAAAGAATATTGTACAGCAGTCAGTCAGTCACAATATAATTTAGGTCGTAAATATTGCTACATAACTACTCATCAACAACTTCTTACTATCTTTACACTATTGGTGAATGTAATAAAAGCCAATCAGCGTGGGGGCTTCTTAATTCTCTGAACGCGTGTTCGAAGTATTCAGATCAGCATTCCGAATGTAATTAAATGCATCCACTTAATTATGTTGTGGATATTTGATACATCATGTCGTTTCTGAGTGACACAGCATCTACACTCATAAGGGTGTAGCATCAAAGGAATAGTTGTGTCATGTGTTGGTTTTCTTGTGTACAAATCAAAACTTCCGAATCATGGTAGCAAAGAAATGAAGCCGAATATGACAGCTGAGCATCTCAAGAACCCACGCACCTTTCATTTAGATTAGGAGGCCACAGTTCGCTAATGGTTCTCCTGACTCGACATGCTATGAGGTGTCGCCAGATCTTCACATCAGGGTAAAAGATCTGATTTTAATGAGATGTATTCTCCATGCAAACGCATTTCACTTCGCTCACTATCGTGTCATGACATAATAAAGGGATAACTCACTATAGCAGTGTAGAGAACAGCTGCCACTGACGTCACTAATATTGAATGAGTCGTAGAGATGCCTGTCACTGAGAAGTATAAACAGTATAATAATGTCCTGCGCAAAACTGTAGGTACATCAATGGTTTGTTTTATATGTGTTTTCTCTTGTTCAACGCAAAACTCATCAATATTCCTGTAACATGATTGTGGTCTGTAAATTTACTAGTCTGGACAAGACATTCTAGTGATTGACACCATGAGCATCGATCCACACAATTGAGATACGGTGACGTGCATCAACCATGTCAAGAGGTATGACCACCCGATCCATTGAATCATATCTCTCAAGAAACATGGGTTGCTGTGGACCTATGTTCATACACGGGATCCCTGTACAGCAACTCAAACCCTAAATTATAATGGTTCTCATTTCAGGGGTTAATGCACAATGTACTGTATGATGAGGCCCATTTCATTGTTGCATTAGGGAATAGACACCTCATATAGACAAGACATTTTGCAGCTGCATCAACGAGATTTGTGTTTTCAAATTTTGAGCTTTGCTTTATAAGGTGTTATACAAAGAAATACACACACATCAAATTCCTAGACAAAAAGATGCGGTACAAGTAAAGAGCGGTGTGGTGTTATTTTTTTGTAGATATAAGGGAGACATGTACAGGACTCATGTGCAGTAGAAGTGTTGTATAGATTGCCAGGTGTCAGTAGAACGAGTGATAGTGCACCTCAGCATGTACAAAGCAGGTCTAGATAACATGCTACTGAATGGCAAATCCCAAACGGGTCAATACAACTGTCAAACAGTTTTGGTAACATAATAGTACACAGTTCAGTTTGGCGACGCGTACTTCTGTGTTGTGTTGAACACGCTGGATGTGTAAACTAGTGTAGGTGTTATACATGCGTAAAGTGGAGTTGAAAGGTGGCATATGTATGGTGAAATCACTGTGTCCATAGGATACATGTGATAGTGCTGTGTGTGTAGAACAGGCTTTGAAATATTATAGTGCAGTACAATTGAAGATGATGAAAAGAACAGAGCGATAACCTTCCTGGATTAAGACATGACGTGTGAAGTTGTGATATCGTGAGGTTTGAATGGAATATAGCTGCAGTGAAGCTGTTGTTCATGTATTAAGTCAAACCAGAGTGTTTTCAGTGCAAATACGAATGTGTGGAACAACTGTCATCTGGTTAGGTAAATATGTGGTACAGGTCAGAAACAACTGTCATGCTGGAATGGTAGGTATGTGGTAGAATTGTGACACAGGTGTTGTAGGCACATGACACAATGCTAGCACTTGCGAAAAGAACGCATAATAGTATTATGTGTGAATACATTCATTGATTTCCTACCAGCACGCAGCGCGAGGCCTTGTCCTAAAAGAACGATGCACAGGTAGAAAATCTGAAAATAGCAATGAACAATAAAGCAAACGATAACCCAAACAGGTAAGTCATTGACTAAAGCTGTAAATATATACAAACTTCTATAACGGATATACAAGATGTTTTTACTGATATATACATGGTCGCTTCCATTTTCACTTATAAGTCGAATTGAGCACTTACCAGAACTTCATTTTGAAGAAGTGCAAATCTTAAATTACTCCCTGTGGTGTTAAGGATACCCCCAAATGGCACAGTTGGTCATAATCTGGGGGAAACGGGGCTTTGATCCCTCGATGATTGATAATAGATTTTACTCAGAGGTAAAACTGATTAGTGACGCGCCCATATGGGTCTTACATTCTGTACACAAGATGCTACCGTCGCGATCAGGCGGAGAGCTTTGGATTTGAAGCGACCCTCGAGATACTGGAAGAGAGATTTAAAATGAAAATATGTTCATACATTTAGTCTGAACAACAAATTAAAATACATAACATTGTTAACAATATCACCAATATTTTCAAATACAGTTGGTGGCATATTTTACTACCGACGTACAATGTACTATGTTTGGTATTTTCAAGCGAAAATTATTTCTACACCAAGTATGCACAGCTGTGGTAAATGTAAATGAATATTCGATGTTTTTACCTGCAATAGAATAAAGAATGGGTATCAATCATTAGTCCACATGGTATTGGATACTACACTATTTGTGATTTTTTGGAGGATTGTAAGCTACCATAGTTTCATTCACTCTATTTATTACCTTACATGCAATTTGAATCCTGTAATATTTATTATGGGTTTTTTTAACTTACAAAATACTGAACATGTTTCTAACATGCTACAATGTCTGTGCAAATCATAGAGATTCGTTAAGTGTTATCATCAAGGCATAAAACCAGTTAAGGTTAAGATCCAGCACATAAAAATCGTCGCCACAAAAACCGATAATGGTCCGATATCAAACATATCCTGTTCTAACAGGTTGTCGGCAGCATAAATACATGCATCGATATGTAGGCTATGTATTATATCGATCTACTGATGCGCACGGTTTACGTTTATGTGTGATATGCCTTGTTAAATTCTATGGTATGTTATGGAAGTAGATACCTATATTAGTATTCTTATTTTGATCAGTCAGACTCAGGCATTCTTTAGTGTCATTGTAGTTTATACTTTAAACTCACCTTATATATAAAATCAAAAAAATATAGATAAAAAACCGTGCATCTTAATGAAACCGTGCCTCATGTTTTACACACCAAAAACAAGGAAATACAGTGAGATCAAGCAGTGTGTCAGTTTTGATCAATTATGTATTCTTACCTCAAATGGGCTTGAGATATTGAGTCTCTTTAAAAGGGTCAACAGGAGGAACATTTCCAGGAGCTGTCCCACGGAGAACGCAATCTCACTGAAAATCCACATGATGCCGTGACTGTACGCCTCTGCTGATACTCCAAGCATGGTAATGGTCGACGTGAACGTCGCAATCAACGACAACGCGACTGGGAAGAAGGTCATTGAGCGTCCAGCCAAAAGGTACTCCTCCAGTTTACCATGCCTGCCGACTATGGCGTGGTATATGCCAATACTCACCGAGACGGCCACCATGACACCAAACACTGTGTAATCCCATTGTCCAAACTTGTGTGAATCCATTCGTGCTTTGAACAAATAAGAGTTATGTCAACGTTGCATATTTAACTTTCTCTCGCGAATCTTTGATTTAGTTATAGCATGAAGGAGACAAATGTGACTTCAGAATATTTATACAAGATTTAAAAGGAAACTTATCGTATTTTTGCAAACAGAAACTCCAAATCAAATATTTCCGTTTCTTTCCACTGGGGGGCACGGGTGATGAGTTTTAAAAACGGATATTGAACAGAGAACTTAAGATACTGAACAAACAAAAGCATGGTTTCCGGTTTCTAGGCTGTGTGGTCCAAGAACCCCTCTACCCCTCTATACCAGTTCATTGCAGGTGTATACAGTTCCATAATTGCGTTACAGGGACCCCACGGGTATATGACCATCTTTGTGGTCTAGTGGACAAGAGTCTCCCCGAAAATCGGAATGTCGATGGTTCGATCCCAGCCCGCGTTATACCACAATACCGGTAGTACAATGAAACCGGCGTGCGTGCGTAGGGACTGGCGTTTCTCGGTCTATGTGGTGTCTTTGTGTTAATGAGCTGGTGCCCCTAGATTTAATGCTTTGATGATAAGATGTTCTGAGATAGTTTTAGACGCTAGATACTGTATGTCTTGTTGAGGATTGTGTTTTTTTATACCTGGTCCATCCAATATCATACTGACTAGAGCCTTCAAAGAAGCAGGCAAAGACTGACAGTCAGAGGGAAATGCTCCCTTGAATGTTTGTTTCACATCTGCGGATAATTGTTCTGCGCTAGTTTGCATTAATGATTCAGAATCAAAATTTTGACTGAAGAAAGGTTTCAGTGCTGGTCCAATATCTTTATCAAATTCCAATATAACATTTGTGCCTTGCCTGTGAGCTCTAAGATCGGAATTTCTGACAAGATTCGATTCCAGGCTTGTTGTTTGTACAGTTAAAGAATTTATTTGTTTGTTTGTTGTTTAACGCCGCACTTAGCAATATTCCAGCTACATGGAGGCGGTCTGTAAATAATCGAGTCTGGACCAGACAATCCAGTGCTTGACATCATGAGCATCAATCCACGCAATTGGGGTACGATGACATGCATCAACCTATTCAGCGAGCCTGACAACCCGATCCCGTTAGTCACCTCCTCCGGCAAGCATGGGTTGCTGAAGACCCCGGATCTTCACAGGTAGTTGGTTTTGTTTAAACAAGTTCATGCAATCAAAAGATTCCCCAGATCTCTCGTACAGACCTTGCTTCCAATTAATGACATTCAGGAAAACATAAGTTGAAATTGTTTTAAAGCTAAATTTAATTAAAATGATTGAAATGAGCATATGATACTGATATTGTGAACAAACATTTGACAATATCGGAAGATTAAGTCATTTTGGCAGCTATCATGGATTTTCGACCACCAGGGGGCGCTGCTGAGGTGGATCCATATCCAAAAATGTTTGGAATGGTTCAATGTATAAGTTTGGTGCTTTTAACCCAAAACACACAGTTTTCGCCTTTACCTCCCCACTATATTCAAAGCCAAACTATTTTAGCGGCGGTCCACGGATGTCAAATGTGCTAAATATCACAATAGGCAGCACAATATAGATGTTTTGTGCAACATACATTTAAAATTCCGAATTCCAATAGACCAAACTGATATTATCAATATGGCAACCATGTTTAGATTTATCAGAATAATCTTAGCAGCTTTTAGAGTCACCATTGCAGAGATCATATACACAACATTGCAGCTTAAACAATCCAGAGGGTTTGAACCATACAGTGTTACTTACTGACCGTCCGTATCTTGGTAACACATCACGCTAAAAGCTATAATTTGGGTGTGTTTGCATATACATTACATACTGTGCATGACATACATTAATAATAAGTGGGAAAACGTGAAATTTTCAATTTGGCTGCCATCAGAACTGAAATTATTAGATATTAGGTCAACCTGTTTAAATACCATTTCCACTTAGCTGAAACGAGATGTTTGTGGTCACACGTATATACTTACCCGCAGTAGAGTGTACCGTCAGCGGAAATAACAGTACTATTCATAAATACATAGCTGCACAAGCTAGAGTCTAGAATTTAAGACCACTCTCTGACAGCTTTTCCACTATTGTATAGGGAAAGTATGCACACCACGGACACAAGTTTACAAGTTGTTACACGTAGCATACGAGGATGAAGCCGCCGGCAGCAGTGGAGGTGAGGCGGGGCTGTCAAAACTGTCCAATTGGAATTGGAATGGGACTCACCCATTTGAAATTGGGTGCCCGTGAGTAGTTTGTCTAACGTGAGAGGCTTATTCATTGCTTTGTTAGGTGATGTTTATAACGTGTATTTTTATCAAGCAATTTCATTTTGGCATTATTTCTATTTATAGCAAATAATATCAAAATTAAAAAGGCTGTAACTGTGTAAATTCATGGTTGTGACAACCTTGAACAGTTGAAAATGTAGTTGTTTTTTAGCGTAGCTTGACTTGTTTGTTAGTCTTTATGAGTAAAGTTAATATTATACTTGTTCAGATCATGTCATTCTTCTTGTCTCGATGGCAACACTTGAAGTTGATATATATATATATATATATATATATATATATATATATATATATATGTATATGTATATGTATATGTTTATATGTATATATATGTATGTACATGTAAGAACAACAAAATTAATAAGATAACAAAAGGTGGAAAATAACTATGGGTAGAAGCTAACAAAGGAAGCCAACAGATGATTGGCGCTGATAGGTGATAAGTAATAAACAATGGAAGCCAACACTTAAGTTATCATAGATAAGTAATGGACGGGGGCAAACGGGGGGGGGGGGGGGGGGGGGGGGGGGCAATTAGCACTAATAGGTGAAAGACTAGCAAAGGGCAGATTGAAGCCAGCTAGGTAATTAGCCCCAACAAAGTTCAAAGCAAGCAAAAAGTCCTAAGCACCTGCTCCCGGTCATGGCTGGCTGGTGTCTCCTTATGTCAATGACTTCTTCTAGTTTTCTTTGTCACCAGTTGTTGTTGTTGCTGACAGGACTTTGGTGACTTCCCACATGATGGTATGGTTTTTGTTCTTTAACCAACAACAACTAATGGTGGCAAAGAAGTTGACCTTTCTAACTGATACTCATAGAGTCACTCTTCTGTCTCAACTCACGTGGAATAGATTGTGGATATAGGGCTCTGATGCCGCTTTCTCAATGCTGCTTTCGAAACAATAGGCCACCGTAGGTAACATAATCGGATAGAATTCAATATGGGAATCAGAGGAACAGATCTTGACTATCCACATTGATGGTCTATCAGCAGGTGACTTGGCCCCGACGTTTGAGGTTCCGCAGGGTTTTAGGGCCTGTACAAGTATACTAAGCCTCTGTGGCAATTAATTGAGCAACACAATCCTCATCGTCATTATTAATATTCAGTCCTTCAACAGCTACAGAAGCGGCCGCGCAAAGCTTAGTGTTTAGAAGAACTTCGAAATTGGCACCACGTGCTACATCTATCAACCACACCATCACTGTTAACTCTCGGAGTGATTCTCGACACTTAACTTGACTCCGATAAATATACTGAACAAGAAAAGCTCCTGTGACACTGAATAAGATTTAATGCAAAGTTATGTTTTTTACTAAATCTGAAACAATTTCGGTTTGCAACAGATAAAAGACTCCTGTAAGTGTTCAAATGGTTTAATTTGCCAAACTGATTTCAGAAAATAAGTGATTTCATAAAAAAAAACATGAACATGTCAAAATGTCAATTTACAAATCAATAGCGTGTGTCCGCCTCTGGTTGCGATGCACGCAGCACATCTTCGTCTCATGGAATGGACCAGGCGTCGCACAAAGTCCTGTGTGATATCTGTCCATCTCTGCTGGAGCATGTTTCGAAGGTCCTGGAGTGTCTGCAGAGCAAGTGGCTGACGTCGAAGGCGCCGATCCATCTCATCCCACATGTGCTCGATTGGTGAGAGATCAGGGGAGCGAGCCGGTCAGGGGATGACATTCACGTTGTTTTGTTGAAGAGACTCCTGAACAAGTCGAGCAATATGAGCCCGGGCGTTGTCATGTTGAAAGGTAATGCCTGGGCCATGACGACGCAAAAACGGTAGAACAACAGGGCCGATGATCTCGTCGCGGTAGCGCTGTCCATTAAGATTTCCCTCTACCACTATCAAACGGATCCTGTCTTGCTGTAATCCCACTCCATACCATAACGCTGCCATCCCCCGAACCGATCTTCTTCCACGACACAATGATTGACGTAACGTTCACCTCGACGTCGGTACACTCGAATCCGTCCATCTCTGTGGCTGAGGTGAAAACGAGACTCGTCAGTGAATAGAACCTTTTCCCACTGCATGGCCGTCCAGCGTAGACGCTGTCTGCACCACTGTAGACGTGCTTGACGGTGGTTTCCTGTCAAAATGGGACGTCTGGCGGGTCTTCTTGCGACAATCCCTGCACATCTGAGGCGGCGACGTACGGTTTGTTAAGATATTCGTCGAAGGCCAGGGATGCTTCTTTCAGTCACTGTTGCTGGCTGGAATCGATTTCGTATGTGTGTTGTTCGAATCCAGTTGTCTTGTCAATTATTGGTTACGCGTGGCCTGCCACTCCGAGGATGGTCTCTGACTGCATTAGTCTGTTGCCAACGTTGCCGTAAACACCAAGTGGTGTTTCTGTTGAAATTGTCTTGCAACATCACGTTGACTCGATCCTGCTTCAAGCATACCAATGGCTCGCAGACGCTCATTTTCGGACAGGCGTGGCATTTGTTGAATAATTGCGGTGGTTGTTGTCAGGACGGTGTTTAACAATGCATATGGAATTCCGTCAACGCACATGTTTTCATACCCATTCTTCTTGGGTAGTGAAATGCATAGGGCTTGCATAAAAGTCAACTTTTGCATGGAATGCATGCTTTTCTGTAGCAGTTGCGTTTTTATGACTTGATTCCATACATGTGTTTCAATATTGAAAACCGAACTTTACTTGTTTGAAAAATACACTACA